CAATCGGAGTTGGGCTGTCAAACCAAGGTAAGAGGCAGCCAAGAGAGCTGGACTGAGAGAAGTTTTTCATCCTGGCAATGGCTTCAGGGTCTTTTCCTCCCCTCAGCAAAAAATGACCTTTGAGGGCTGTGTGATCTCACCTGCACAGCCCTTCAGCACACATTGTCACACAAGAAGAAACCCATGCTTGTGCCAGCACCTTTCACTTATCATATGGTAGATCAGCTTCATTCTCAGTCATGTCAATCTTGGTTTCACGGCTGGTTTTTCTTGCTACCTATTTGAAATGGTGTGAAGGGAGGTGAGCAGTATTGTAGTAAAAGAATATTACAGTGCCTTTGTTTCCTCCAAAGATCACTATTTCCATCCAGGGAAAAAAGGCGTTACCAACCTCCATGCCTGAGAAGGGGGAAAGATAGGGTCCCCAGCATCTGGTTCTGCAGCAGACACCCACAGCAATGTTAATACTGTGCTTGTGAAAGGTCCATCTGCTGCTCCTTCTGAATCTCAAAGCAGGTCACCCGTCTATCTCTATCTGTTATCTTAAGTGCCACATTCCTTAACCGCTGTGTCAGTGGTCTCTGTCTGCAGTCAGCTTGTTACTCAGGAGTCGCTGGTGTTGATTCTACTTACAGAAAGCTCCTGCTGTTGTGATCCAAGCTGCCCGGGAAGGCAAGCATTGATGTTGCCTGAAACGTATTAGAGCATGTTGCTGACCACAGGCCAGCCAAGGCTAGGGAAAAGTAGACAAAGCTTCGCACCTCAAGTGGAGATTATGCATACAGTTGTTCTGTGTGCGCTTGCATATGTGTGTGTCTGACACTGCCTTTGTCCGTGCTCTGAGTTAAGTCTAGAACACAAGAACATGGGCTTCTGGAAAAACATCTCTGCTCTATACTGGGGGAGTGCAGAGCATTTACCTCTTTCCCAGAGCCTTCTCTAGACTTCAGGAAACAGGGCTGTTATTCAGCAAAGAGAGGTTTGAGAAAACAGGGCAGCTATCTTGTAATTGCCCTGACGTCTACCACAGCCTGACCGCCCTAAATGTGTATGTCTGGCATCTAGAAGAGTGAATACCATGTATCATTTTAAGGAAATAGATGGATCTGGTGGGAGGAAGCCTGGCTCAGAGATTGATGATAGGATATCGAGTTTTTTTGTCTCTAAGGTGCACAGCTTGGGGTCTGACCCCAGCTTGCTGTAACTAATGCTGAAGGACCTTGGTTTGCATTGGCTGGTGGCCCAGGATCAAACATTCATGTTGGAGGAAGGGAGAGAAATGGACATCAGCAGAATAACATGAGGGGCGTTGTTAGGACACACGTTCCTGCTTCAGCTTTTCACAGCTGAGGTGCCTGCACCGTAGCTTGCAACTCTTGTTGCCTGGATCATTCCTGTGTCTACTTACTATGATACGCGGTATTGAGAGTTGCTCCCCTATGAGCAGGATCAGCAGACACAAACAGGCCACGGGGACTTCACTTTTTCAGCTTTGATCTGGATATGGAAGTTACCTGAGAAACTGGGCTGAGAAGGTTGTTCTTTCATGGCTGCCCAGCCTCTGTAAGTGTGCTGGAAACCCTTGGACAGTGCTGAACCCCACATACCAAGCAGTTCTGCTGTGCCCTATTGCGACAGCAGGGATTACGTGATGAAATTACAAAGCAACCTCTGCAAAAGCAGGAAGAGATTCCCTGTCCTACGACATGACTTCAGAGACACTCATCTCAGTGGAAATTCAAACAGATTAGAAACAAGAACTAGTTAAACCTTTACTCTACAAGAAAACCAATATTTACAGTGATAAAGATAAGTCACTCCCATGCTCCAGGGCATACTCTCCTGCCAGGATGAGGAGGGAATTTCCTTCCAGACTCTTCATGGCCCTCCAGCTCTGATACTGTAATGCAGTTGTGTAGGCTGGGGTGTAAGGAAGGTTTCTGTCTTCTGATGTATAATAAATTGGCATGGAAAGGAAATTGGACTTCAGGATCCTTCTTGAGTGTTTCATTCAGGGAGTTGAAACTGATGTCAGTGATAAGATTTGTTTCACTGAGGATTCAGCGGAGTTGGACTGAATACAGAAAGCAGCTATGGTTTGACGTGATGTCTCCCATGAAGGACAGCAAATGGTGGTTAGGAGAGCTCCTGCCAGGAGTTATCATCCTCCCATGAATATAGCACTAAAATAAAAATGGAAAATGTGAATACTAGAAGGAAGGTAAGTAGAGCCTTAAGAAACAACCAAATCCCCTGGCCTGGTATAAGCACATGCATGTAATCCATTAAACACTGCTTCTGGGTATTGGTTGCGACCACAGTGTAACTCCAATATTGCATGCTGCTTTTTTTTCAGACCTGCAGGATTAACTGAGTGCTGAATGCATGATCTAAAGCTTCTTGATATCAGTGGAAAGCTTCCTACTGCTTTGAGCAATCTTTGGATGGAATTTCCTTCATGCTATGGTCTGATCTCATCCAAAATTGAGTAGATTCTGGGATTCTCTCACTTACTGAATTCTTATTACCAAAATATGGTTAACTTGGATGCTATCCTCCCTGACTCCACAACACCTTGTAGGGTGCTAGAATTAGGGATTCAGAAGACAACTCAGCAGCTGTCCTTTTAGATGGAGCAGTCTCCTAGTGGCAGGGATTGAACTAAGACCTCTGGGTTTTATAGCCTGAGTCTCCTCTGTGTAGTCAAAAAGATCTGGTGCCAACAGTGGCATTCAGCAGCTAGTATTGACCAGGAGCTCCAGTTTCCCCGAAGAGAGAGACAGTGCACCACAACTGGTGATATGTGACTACAGATAGATTTGACTTAAGAATTACCTATGTCCAATCTGTTTTTAGGGTATCTTGTGCTTCTGATATTTTCAAGGTGCAAGAAGTAGAGCATACAGGTTTTAGCAGGAAGAGCAATGTATTTTGCATGCATTTTACTCTTTGTTTTAATTTTCATTCCCCCTCTGACAGGGTGATTGCTACCTGTTGGGCTGGGCAGCTGCAAACTGTTAAAGGGCAACTGCCTGACAGCGAAGACGTGGGTGCATGCGGAAAGGAATTGTGTCCCATAAAGTCGATGTAGCCTTTGTTTTGGCACTCTTGGGACAGAAGATGCAATGGAAGTATAATTACTTCATTCAGATTCAGCACAGCCATAAATAACCATAAACATAGTCTTAATTCCACCTTCCTGGTGTATAATGAGATATAAACTGGCTTAGGTCAGGGGATAGTTTGAAGCACTCTTAAGCGTTAAAAAAATAAAATCACTCAGCATGTAATTTTTAGTTTTTAAAATAATTTTCTTCTTAGGAGTCTGTTAGAAATTGGACCTTCACAGAGTTTGCCCTCTCCATGTGAAAGCTTCCCTCATTGTATGCCCTGAGCAATAGCTCAAGAAGAGTTTCAGCTGACACTCAGATGTCTCTCTTGCTCTCTGTTGGCAGGGATCTTTGGACAGCGATTGGAGGACACTGTACAGTATGAGAGGAAGTATGGCCAGCGTTTGGCCCCACTGCTGGTGGAACAGTGTGTGGATTTTATTCGGGAGCGAGGTCTTACAGAGGAGGGGCTCTTTCGGATGCCTGGCCAAGCCAACCTTGTCAAAGATCTGCAGGATTCTTTTGACTGTGGAGAGAAGCCCCTTTTTGACAGGTGAGTTGACATCACCAAATTCAGGCTGGTTTATCTGTGGTATGTAAAATCCGGCAGGAATGGCCAGTGGCTATCCTAGTCTACATGTTCTTTCCACACCATTGTTCTTTTCATTTGAAGTGCCTCTGGGACTTTCTCCTGCATATGGTGTTGGATACTGAAGCCTTCATTCAGCTAAGTGTTTGCACAGAGGGAGAAATTGAGCCCGTTAATCTAGATGGGGCTACTCCAGTGTTTCAACTTAAGTACATGTTGGATGAAATGCATCGCTAGATTTGTGTGAGGCATACTCAGCAGTTGGTGGGATCCCACCCTAGAAATGGATATGACAGAGGTGAACTAGGTGTTTTACTGCTTTCACATGTTGCATTCTCCCTTGCTGAAACCACAGTGGATCTGCCTAGGAGCAATATCTCAACTCTTCCCTTTCCTTTTTCACCAGTTTTCAGAATAGTCACCACCATCTCACACATCTTCCCTGGTTGTTATGCATGCAATATATAGAATTGGTCAGCATGTCATAACAAAGAACTTTGTGACCCCAGAAGAATTCTTGGCCAAAATGATTTTTTTGGCCTAGAATTTCAGCAGCTGAGATGGAACACTTATTTCAAAATGGAATATATCTGATTTTCAACAAAACTTGAATCAAATGTTTCTGAAATAAAAATGGCAATTTTGTATTTCTCTTCACATTATAAAAATGTTGATGTAGTCACTCCTGGTACAAAGACATGCTAGCAGCCTTTTTGACCTACTGACCATGTCAATGGCAGGGAGCAGCAAAGGTCGGCTGCTCTGCAAAACAAGGTGAGCCAGGAGCCGAGTGTGGTAACAAGGCTGGCAGAGGCAGTTGCACAGTCGAGTCATCAATAGGCAAGTCCATAGTGACAAGGCAGCTCCAAGATCAGGCTAGGTAATCGGTCCGTGAGTCAGGGTCTGGGTCCAGATCAACAGGGTCTGTGGCCAGGCACAGATGTGGCTGTTGGGCAGTGGGAGTTGTAGCTCAGGCACAGGATAAACGGTAGAGGCTCAGCTTAATATCTGCTCCTACAGGAAGAGTATCAGCTCTGGCTCAGAGCGCTCCATCCAAGGTCAGCGAGGGAAGGGGGGCAGCTCTCAGCTGCACTATCTCTATGTTGGCCCTGAGCCCAGGCAGTCAAATCATCAGGAGGGTGGATGCTCTCAGGGCCCTTGCAGCCAAATCTGTCCGTCCTCTGTAACTAACATTTCCTTCCCTCCCTCATATGTACATGCTACCCAGAGTGAAGGTCAGCATTGTGCTAACCTGAATAGTGCTTTGAGAAATGGACCTTGACCCTAACAGAGACCTTGAACTCCAGGAATATTTGGATCCAAGGCCATTGTGTAGATCTGGCCCAATCTCTTACACAGGTCCAGAAGTAGGATCAGATCTGGGATCTTGACTTGGAGATCTGGCTCCTTTTCTTGCTGGAACTCAGCAGCACTGTTTTCCCAGGTGATGCAGGCAGCATCTGGTTTATTGCCAGCATGTCAACCTAGGGGATCGCTTCCCCTGGACCTGCAGCCAGTCTCAACATTGCCAACAGCATCCCTGCCTACTGTTGCAGGAAGAGCTAGTCCCGCATGGGCAGCATAGTGTTTGTTCTCATCCTGGGAAGAATATCCTTAGAGTTTATTTGGAACATTCTTCTAATTCTTCCCTCCTCTCAGCTTCCCAGACCACCCGTCCTCCTTTCTTTGATTCCTAACCACAGTCAGTATTTTTTTCCTAAATGGAAGTGTCAAATATTTAAGAGACATTTTCATGAAAAAATAAAGTTTGAAATCATCAAATGGTCTCACTTCATCTTTTCTTAAACAAAATCTTTGTATTTTTAACTGGATGTCTGGGTGTTCTAGTTCAGAATTAGAATTATCTTAATTCATGTGGAAGTAACAAAGTTGTTTTGGAAAACACTCATATTCTGGAACAGGAGTATCTGTGGAAGGAATTACTTAGGAATGACAGTTTCACTTTCATGTTTTACCTTAATCTAATCCAAACTAACTTCATTGTCATGAAGATAAACCAAGCCTTCGCCCAGCATTTTTAAAGCAGAAAGCACCTTTATTTCCATAGGCATTTGCACTGGCTAAATAGATCAGTGCTAAATCTCGCCTTTAACAGAGGCAGTGAAGATCTCCATGAAGGAATGCCTGCCTTTTGGGTAGTTGATTTGAAATGTGATAACTGAAGGTTCAGGGTCCTGGTTTCAGCTGGCTGGTGTTAAACGACAACATTCAGTACAGAATTAAAGGAGGCAAGCCTAGTAATGTGACAGTTGAGGGTCCCTCAGTGAGTGTCTTTTGCTCCTTCCATCATGTCCACTGCAACTTGTAGGCCCAGTTCTCTGGTCTTTGATATGTATAGTCTCAGATAGCAACAAGGGAGAGGCAGTTCCACCCCAGCTAAGTGAAATGCTTCTCCTCCTAGCAGTGTAATTTTTTCTCTACGTCTAACTAAAACTATCAGTGTACAGCCTAGGATACCTAGGCAGCGGCAAATGTTTTCTGCAACTGTGAAATCCATATGCTTGTTTCCAAATCAGGTGCAGTGAAAGGAATATCTTTTTTTTTTCTAGTTGCAGCAAGTGCTTTTAAATGTCTTTTGTATCTACAGAGAACTCAAGATAGCTTGATCTTCCAAATGCTAGAGCCTGCCTGCCCTGTGGTGGATCTCTGTGATGACTGATAATTAAAATATTTATTTTTAGAAGGTTTGCTTTTCGAATTTAGGTTTTAAATGCATATGTATATTCCTATGAAAGACCAGGTGTTGCTGTTTTGGAAGTACCTACAGCAGTCTGCTCCTATTGCAATTCCATGCTACTGAAAGTTTGGCTGGATTTCACATGGCCTTGTGGATGAAACAGTAACTGCAGCCAGTGGACCTGAGGCTGTAGTCTGGGCTCTGCTTCTGAGTGATAGTCATATCCACCCTCCATGCCTGAAACTCCTCACGAAAAAAAGAAAAAAAGAATAAGCGTACTGACCTCATTTGTAAAGCATTTATAATCAACTGAAGAAAACCAGCAAGTGGAACTGTTGTATTCTCAGATATGATGGGGCTGTTTAATAGGAATAGCATTATCAGCATTAGACAGCAAGTGGTAGCTGCTGGCAGCTTCCTATTGTAATTTTTCCTGTTTTGTTTTAGCTGTGTATTCCAAAAATGCTTAGAAACATGCTAAGCAGAAGAGATTCAGCTTTTAGATAGAGATGAGGATTTGAGGCTCTGTTGCCCCATGGTTAGTGATGTGTTTTCCTCAGAGTTCTTTAAAGAATGTCAGGGCAATGGTGGGTAGTGGGGAGCTGGTGACAGAATCTGTTTAGACTTCCAACAGTCAAAACTTTTGAGGAGGACATCTGCAAAGATTAACAAAGTTGTACAACAGGAGACTTGGAATGAGGGAGAGGTATTGCCATGCATCCAAAGCTGGATAGGAAATGGATAGGGAAGAGCAGGTGCATCTTCATCATGGGGTCTGACACCTCAACCCCAACTTAAAGGAAAGGAGGGAGAAGAGGAAAAAGGAGTTCCTGCAGTGGGAGAGAAAAGAAAAGCTGATATCCCAGCATAACAGATGGGCTAGGAAATGGCAGACACCCCAGCCTGGGGGAGGAGATGTGACCCACAAGCCAGGCAGCCATGCCAAATGGCAATAGAGGGTCTGGAGGAAATACAGCTCCCTCCATTTTTTTTCTGAATGATTGATCAGGACACTTGGGAGCCTGGCCCATCAGATGCAGGTGGGTGCTGGCTGGGGAGAGTATCAGGCGGGAGGAATCAGTGAGATGATCAGAGGTTATGTGTGATTGCATGAGGATGCAGAGCTCCGCTGTCAGTGCTACATGATCACTGTGCACTTGCCTGGAATGTATTGCTCACATTCCTGATCCACACTGGCTGAGGAACCACAGCACTGCCCTACCTTAAGCAGTATCATGGGCATATGCCTCCCACTGTCCATATTGCCTGAGATGCATTTATATCTTGACAAAATGAGGGATTTCCCTCATTCCCAGGTAGACTCTCCTGGATAGTTACAAACATAGCAGAACAGCTCCCTTCCATGTGCTTACTTTGTCCCTGTCCCTGAGAGGGACCTTGATGCACCCCCAAGGAAAGGCATCAAGCTTTGGGGTAGTGTGGGTTTCTCAATTTTCTCTTCTCTATTGCAGCAACACAGATGTTCACACTGTGGCGTCCCTCCTGAAGCTTTACCTCCGAGAGCTGCCAGAGCCTGTCATCCCTTTTGCCAAATATGAAGACTTTCTTTCTTGTGGACAGCTACTCTCAAAAGATGAGGGAGAGGTCAGTGATCCTTCTAAGCTGCTTCCTTCTACCTAGAAGGCTATTTCCAAGACTCAATGTAGTACAGCTTTCTTCTCATCACTCTTCAGTCCTGATTTCAATCAGTGAAGTTCCTGGGAACCTTCCCCTGAATTTTCCTGAAGCTGTGAATTGGGAGTTAATATCACAGGCTCCTGCTTGAAGCAGGAGCTTTTTTGAAGTCACTCTTGTAGCCTGGTGCTTCTTTCTTCTGAACAAAGCTGTTCTGTAGCATAATCAGCAAGTGATGCAAGGTAGGAGATTCAGGTTTCTTTCCCAGCCTTGCTGTTGACTCATTAGCAAGCTTTATGAAGTCACTCCCTTCTTCTGTGTTTTCAGTTTCATATATCAAAACAGCATGTTCTGCTTCCCAAAGTTTTTGGTGGATGAGATGTTGGTCAGTGCAATGGTCTTTGTATTTCTTAGAGGAAAGGGCAGGCTATGATATTATCCCAAAATGGGGGAAATAATGCTATGAATACTTTGCCAGAACCTTCTTATGATGTTCCTCTCTTTGGTTCCCAGGCAAGGGAAGGGGCTGACAAAAACCTCCAAGTCTGTAGCAATCATGGAAATTTTGATTCACTGCTTGGGAGGAGCAGGATAATTTACAATATGATTGATCTGTTTCACCCATATTGTTCCTCTTGTGGTGATGTCTGAGCTCTTTGCTGACTGCAAAGGCACGTTGGATCTGGTCTAATGTGGGTGGAACTGTGCCACCTTCTAAAACAGAGTTTTAAAGAAGCTGTAAGGGTTGTTACTAGTGTCAGCTAAAGAAGCAAAGGCCTGAGGGTTTGTAAGTTCTGTCCCTTTTCTGTGTGTGGCCTCAAGAGCACACTCACATCTTTGTCTCTGGTGGGGATTGTAAAAATTGTTCTTTACTGAGAGTCTGGGGTTCACCTTTAGGTCAAATGGCAGAAGGGTCTGGGGAGATTCTGTCCTTCACGATGCCCATAGGAAGATGCTTGTTTGCCTGCATCAAATAGAGCATATCTGTCAGTTTTTTACAGATAAAAGGCAAATTTGCTACTATCCGTACTGACATGGTGTATCCTCTAGCTAACTCTGAGAAAGTAAATTTCTGTGCATGACACAACATATTACCACGCATGGGTATGCATTTGCATCCTGGACACAGCCACATCAGTGTGTCAGTGCACTAGTGTTGTCTTTTAATAGGTAGAGGTATGTGTCTACTAGCTCCAAAACTTGTTCATTTTCTGCCTTATCCTCAGTCAGCTCGGGCACCTCTGCAGGGTGCTATGTTACAGACAGCACAACGGCTGATTTCACAAGAAACAGCAGCACTTCCAAGGCAGTGGAGCTGGTTTAATTTTGGTCATAAGATGTGCAGACTGGGAAGTTTTGGATCCATTAAGCACTATTGCACAAGAGTAGAGACACTGCCAAGTTGGGCAAACATAATTGTATATCACTGCTCAGCTTATTAACTACGTAGTTTGCCTGATTTTGCCTGCACAGGCTGCAGCAGTTTGGGAAGCAACATCTGTGTTGGTTTTGTGGGAGCAAGGCCAGACTCAAATGACTTGTAGTGCAGTATTCTCTTTGGATTAGAATGGTGATGAGGAGCACTAGAAAGCCAAAATGAAAGCTTACAAAATATGGTACTGCTGATAGCACAAAGTTGTCTTGTTAAGCTGCTGTTGTAAACAAAACTATTTTCTGGAACCTCAACAAGGGCTGTTTAATTTTTCAGAAAGGAAGGTGGAGCGCACACACCAAGGGTGGAGAGGCTGTACGTGCACAGTAGCACGTGGAGCAGAATGTAGCACAAAGTCATACTCAGCCTGTAGGGCCTGACTCGCCTCCTACATGGAAAGTCCCCCAGCTGAAAAATGTAGTTTCATTGAAACCATAATTTTTTAGCATAAAATGATAAGCAGGGAATTTCAAAATCAAATGTTTCATTTTGAAAAATTATTTGGAAACAAAATGCAATCTATTGTTTTAATCTGAAGTACTATTTTGGAAGTTTTGAATAAGACTTTTGGACTCAAAATACAAGTTTCTTTAGTTTTGTACACCACTACCACCACCACCAACAAAAACAGAATTACTTAAAAATAGGCGTTCAGATAAAATTGTTGGTACCTCATGCTGCTACACTGTGGCCATAGATAGGACTTATTACGATGTTAGTTTGACTTAATTTCCATCTGCAGCAAAAAGCACTCCAGCACCGCCCTAAGTTTTCCATTTTTTATTCAGACTGCTGTTCATTCTTCATTCTGCACCCAACTAATCTCTGGTGTTGGAATGCAAACAGAAACATAATAGATACCTTGGGTTGTGCTGAGGCCTCCAGGTATCTCAGCAGGACTTCAGCATTAAAAAAAGTTTTGATTCTGATCCCAACTGGTTGGGAGGAGGGATTGAAAATGAAAAACAATTTTAGAGTAAGAATGAATGAAAGATCATCAAATCTCTAAAATCTCATTTGAGTTTGAGCTGACTTGGCGTGGTAGTATTTTAGCCTTCACTGCTGCCTGTATTCTAGAGATGCACAGAGCAGCTCAGTGGGCTAAGCACCTGGCTTTGAGTTTTTGAAGAGGGGTCTGAATTTGGATGAACATCTGAAGCGTTGCTAGTTTTCCAGCCCATCTAGAAGCTCCTAACTGGTGCTGATCTATTACACACATTGCGAAATCCTTGGCTTTGGGATCACTCCTTGGAAAGCATGCATCTGTAGTAAATTAGATATGCAGCTTTTTCAAGGAGGTAAGAGTTATTACTGCAAAAAAACATGATGAATGACAGTGCAGTGCCTCTGTTGCTTGCTAAGCTGCAGCCATAAGCATGATCAGTAGTACTATTTGTTAATAACACAGCAGTTTCTAGCCTGCATTTTCCTTTACACTTTCGCTGTGGTGTTACTAGGCTGAGCCTTCTGCCATCTGTTGGTCAGGTGGTTGGTGGGTACAAATCTGGCAGAGCTGACAAATGCTGAAGCAGGAGAAAGCTTTTTTTAACCTGGCAATTGTTTGTACCTTGATGAATGTGAAGATACTCTCTGTGTAATACCATGTCTGTGGTTCCTCGTGACAGAGCATGGATAATAAATTTTTAGAACCTTTTTTTTCTTTCAGGTACCGTCCTGTACCTTTATGTCATGTTTCCAGCTGTTCACAACTGCCTGCAGTTTCTGTTCCAAATCCCCTTCTTGCATGTAGGGGAGCCATAGTACTTTAATTCACTTGGAATACAGTGCCAAATACCATCCTCCTTTCTGTATTTGAAATAAATGGGGTTACAGAGCAAAATTCAAGAGGGAATTAGGTCTGTTAGATCAACTGTTTCTAGTTCAAACTCCTCACTTGAAAGCTGGATGATCTGAACAACTGACCTTAACCTTCACATCAGCAGCAGCTGTCTTTGATTCAAATATTTTCAGAAGTTTAAAAAAAAAAGCATTGAGGATTTCAAAAGTGACTGATCTTTCATTGGTGTCTCCATTGTTGTCACTGTTAAACAGGCATAAGTTTTAAGCTAAGGATTTAGAAAGGACTTATTGCTCTTAAGAATTCTTTTTTAAGTTTCAGTTTTTTATTAGAGGACTTTTTTGTGTTGGGACATATAGAATAAAAATGTGTCTATACCTTCAGGATGTTAAGGATGGAGGCAGGAATACAGACTGCTCTCTGGATCTTTCTGACTTCTCTGGACCAGAGAAATCAGGAAGATCTTGCAAAAGGCTGACCGACAGAATTCCCTCCCTAACAGTCCTTAACAAATTGAGGAAAGTTTGAAATGAATGTCCAAATGCACTTCTTTGGCTTGGAACCAGCTGCTTCTGGAATTTCTCCATCATTAGTTAGCAGCTATCACTCTTCCCAAATGTGCGTGGATATCTATTTTCCCACAAAAGGTTTAGTTGTCTCAAAAAATAAGCAAATCTCCAGGGCAACTGCAGCATTGAAAGGAACAAGCAAATGATGCTTGTTGACTGTGGAAGGATAATAGCCTTCTGAGTCAGAGGTTTTCATTTAAGTAGCTCCAGGGTTTTAAGTCATTCCTACAGCAGATGTCTCATCTTAGGTTTTAATGTAAAGACAGAAATTTTATGAGGAAGTAAGTTGCAGCTCAGAATGACTGCAAATGGAAGTAAGTAATTAAAAAGGAGGTAGCTGAATTGGAGTGTCATTTAGCTTTTTAAAGAAAAAATTCTCCTCTGCTCATTTGAGCATTACTGCAATGTATTTATACTAGACACAGTGTCTCAAAGTTTCAAATAGGCCAGGTGCTGAAAAGGCACATTTGCTGGTACATTTATACCAATGCCAGTGGGCAGACTTTGAAGACTAGCAAGCCTTGCTAATTGAGGGCTTCTACATCGACCATTAAAGTTGACAGGAGGATTTTCACTGCTTTTGAGAACTGAGTCACGTTCTGGACATTGTGTTGTGCCTTACGAAAAACCCACTGAATGACACCTTTTTTAAAGCAAAGCCACCTTGTGTTCTCATCTGTTGTTCACAGTTTTGACTCTGGAAAGAGGATTTTATAGTATTGAAGGAAAGTCACATTTTCTTTGCATCATTTATATTAATAGTTCTCCTTGTTTTTCCTGTCCCTCAGGGTACCCAGGAACTGGTTAAACAGGTGAAGAATTTGCCCCAAGCCAACTACAACCTCCTGAAATACATATGCAAGTAAGTGAAATTAATTAACACTTGGAAAAGTCACTAAGTTTTGTGAAGCTCAGTCTTAAATGCAAATAATTTACTCTGCAAGTATGAATATTCAAACATCACTTACATGTAAGTTACTGTTCCTATAAAACATGTGGAGATGAATGTGCAGCCTGCCTGAAGGAAGCTCTTGGTTTATCCAAGAGCATCAGCCAAGCAAATTGCTGTCACCCACAGCCTTGGCAGCAGGCATGAATGAAACTAATATATTGTTTATTTCAGAAGCACTTAAAGACCAGTAAAAAAAGGCATTTTTTCCCAGGTACTGCACACTTGGAAGATGTATGACAGAAGCCAAGTTGCAGATGCAGTTAGAATAGCCAGTCTGGCCACAGCTGTGGTTTTGAAGTGGGATTGGGAGCGGCTTCCTCTTAGAGTACCAGGGACTCCGCAGCCTTGTCTCCCCTCATCTCCCTCCTGACACTCCCAGTATTTGCAAAGTGGGCTGGAATGTGTTTTGGGAGCTGGAACGGCCTGTTACCCTAGATACGATGTAGTGAACTTCATGTTGTATTCTACTCTCCATGGTAGTCAGCCCCTTTATAACCAGTGGGATTTGCACATCTGGAGCAGGTGGTAGACACACACACTGACATTAAGCCCATGACTTATTCAAGATATGTCAAGCCCTTCCCAAGTGTACAGACAGACGGCATTTCTGAAACGTATTTTTTGAACGCTTAAAAAAATTAATTTTGCCTTGCTGTGTGCTTCTATAGCCGTTTGTTTTAATATCTGAGCACCTCAGAACATGAACGGGTGAGGCAGCGGAATATAATTATACATGTTTATAAGTGAAGAGCCGAGGAAAGGAAAGGCAAGGTTCTTGGGTCTTGGCACAGTGTCCACCACAGGGCAAAGCCGCAGAAAAAATGGGAGCTCCTAGAAAAGTCATGTCGCAAGTAGAAAGCATTCAAAAATTCACCAAGTAGTGCAGAATGACAAGAAACTTCTTCCTTGCCAAAACCCATACAATCATCCAAAAATAAACAATAGTTTAGGAAACAGAGTACAGACAGAGTGAGACTGTTTGCTTTTGAAGGCGCTGAGTCCTGTTTCCTGCTGTTGTAGGTTTGCATGTCCTGTAGTCCTTTTTACAGATTGGCTGATTATGTACAAGCTATTTAGGTGTTTGTTGCAGCCTTTCTCTTGCTGTAACTCCTATTGGGAGACTGTTCCAAATGACAAAAACTTTAACGTTAGAACTTTCTGCTGATTTCCAGCTTACACATACGGATAGCCGGTCTGTCTGGATTTCTTTATGTGCTCTCTCTGGCTTGTATAGTCATCTTCTTGTGTTGATGTTTGCCCAGCTGATGCATTCACAAGAAGCATTTGGGCTACCTCTTTATCTGTATTTTGTTAGATTTGAGCAGCAAAGCTCTTTGCACAGGCTGCTATTTCTAGGATGAGGAGATGAGTGAAATGTCTTTTAAATTCTGTTATGTCTGTAAGCGAAAACTGGCAGAAGTCAATCTGTGTAATCAGAGAATTCTGTACTTTCATACCCAGTAGAAAGCTGGTTCCCTGCTAGGCTGGTACCTTTGGCAGAAACCATCCCGACTTCCCTTGTTGATACACGAGGAGGGATCTGGGGTTATTACTGAGTATCTAAGCTGCATTAAGTCCCTACCTAGGAGCATTTCAGGTGTCAGCATTGTATAAACACAGGACAAAACTGTTCCTGCCCCAGAATGCCTATAGTCTGAGAAGTGACTTATTATTCCTCTTCTTCTTTCATTTTTCTGGGGGGGCTTTTCAAGGTTCCTTGACGAAGTTCAGGCTCACTCCAGCATTAACAAGATGAGTGTCCAGAACCTGGCTACAGTATTTGGACCAAATATATTACGACCTAAAATGGAAGATCCAGTAACCATGATGGAAGGTAGGTACTATTGTGAGATAACACAACACCAGTTATAACAGTGTTTGGAAGGTGCGAGGGTATGCTGAAAGTCATACATTTGTTGATAGCTTTTTCACTTGGCTGCACAGTCAGCAACAAGTCAAGCAATCCCTTTCATCGGTGCCCGTGAGAGGATGTAGCAGTGGGCCTCTGTTATCCCACTCACCACTGGCCCCGGAGTGTCTCTCCACTACATGGAGACACCTCTGCCCTGCTCTAAGTTGCAATGTGAAACTCTTCTTGAACCCACCGCTAACATGAAAGCTCAGATGTTCTTCAGAAGGACTATATTTAAGTAGCAAACTGCTGTCATTCAGTATTGGTGCATTTTGGTGGTTAGACAGCTCCCTGTAAAGGACATCCATTCTGCAATGAAAGAGGTACTGTAGTTTTTGCTGTGCCACAGTGGCTGTAACTAGGTGTCTTAGAAGTTTTGTCTTCTGAGCAGGCTGTGTATGGGTCAGAACATCACATAACCCAAGGAATAAGTTGAAAATCACTTAATTTTGGATGTAAAAATCTGAAGTTTGAAAACTATCTACCTCCATATGGGTCAGGAAATGCCCAGGCCTGATCTCTGGCTGGCTGACAGTAGGGTGTCGTATCCCAATACAGCCCCTCTTCCCAGGTGGCAGCGGAGCACAATACTTGTACTGTGGTACAAGTTTTAGCAGGGTCTTTGCATCAAGTTTTGTGGGATCTTGGCATCCTGCACAAAGAATTGATGGATTCGTCCAGCACTAGGCACAGGTGGAGATGCTGTGCTCCGGATGTCTGAACTCAGCCCTGGCACTGCTCCCTAGCTGTAGGGGACAGCTGACGTGGTGTTCTGTGTGACAGAAACCTTCACAGAATGCCGGCATTACTACACTTTAGCAGCAGCAGTGCCTTTAGCTCTGCACAGGTGACCTCTGAAAGGCACTGCAGATGTGTGCCCCGCAGACAGCAACTCTCTGTAACAGGCCAACTTCAGAGCATGGCCTGACATAGTATAGTTGTTCAGGGGTTTGAAGCCTGCCACAGAGATGTGGGGCATATTAGTAAGGGTAGCTTTGAGACCCCCCGGAAGGAGAGAAGATAGAAAAATGTGGGGAGGAGAAAAAGGGAGTGCAGGAGCAGATGCTGGGTTATTCAGCATTACGAAGGTGGGGATAGCTGAAACCTCAGCCTGTTGTGTGATGCTGTGACTTCCCCTAGTGGCCAGCTGGCCAGTGTTGGTAAGAGTCGTACAGCCTTGGCCAGCAACATGCTTTTTGTTCAGTTGGTACAGATGACAAGTTTGGGTTCAGTTCACCTCAGGCATTTCATTATGCAGTTCAGCTGATGGCAGAGGTACTCATACTGTGTGTAGGTGTAAAGGTGCTGTGGTCTCATAGTGTCCTAATCATCATAGGAAAATATGACAGTGATGTGACCTGGAATTCTGCATTAGCACAGACCTGAACTGTAGAAAAATGGGGATCCAGTGACTGGATTTTTAGACTTAATCATTATATTCATAAGCAACAGCACTGGGAATGTGTTGGTTTTAATTTTACTGTTAGTTGATGATAGAAGATTGCTTAAATAGAAATAACAGAGAAGTAGAAAGACACTCAATAATATTTTTTTAGCTTTAGGGTAATACAGATCTGCTAAATCAACTGATACAGAAAAATACTGCTGCCAGCTCTCAACAAAAAGCACTTTAATTGTGTCTCTCTTCAAACTTAAAGCATGAATTTCAAATAGAAATATCTGAAGTTTGACAGCTAAATTGTTAGGAATGCCCTTATCTCCAGAGAGGTTTATTTCTCTCCCCGGATTGACAGACATAAATATGTTAGTCTTATTCTCTATTTCAGATCATGATTAAAAATAGAATTACATACATATTTGCTCTTTTTAAGGTTTTCCCTCTTTTGTAGAAGGTGCTTTGTACTAGGTTTGGTTAAGTGGTGGTCTCTATTAGTTCATAATGGTCTACTCCACTACTGGAAAACAATGACAACTCATTTCTGTGGGTGTAAATAATTGTACACCTTCTGCAGGTGTCTGTATCATACAGATGTCATACTTTCTGCAAGTTTCTCTATACACTGAATGCAGCAGAAGGCCTGAGCTGAAATTTCTGGTTCTTCAATAAACACTAGCTCTGGGCCTGTTAAGACTATGAAACTGGGTGCAACGTAGTGTGGAAACCTGCTGGTTTTGGAAGCTGGACAGAGAGGTACTCCATCCCAGCAAAAAGGATGTGGCGTGCCTCTCTGCACAGGGCTATGCTGTTCTGCATTGATGTATGCACCGAGATTGATGCAGGCTCTGAACCCCATGCCTTGGTGTGGTACAGTCATGCCCTTTTTTCCAGGTGTCCTCCTCCTCTGTCATCTTCAAAGGTGTCCTTAATCATGCCAATTTATTTGTCGTTGCTAGTGTTCATTTGTACTCTGCTCGTCAGCTACACTCATGAGTCAGACTGATACCTGCGTCCTTCACAGTCCCCATTTCCAGCAAAGGGAACAATTCCTGTGTCTTGCAGTCCCGTACAGAAACGCCCACAGAAGTTTGTGCAGACCCCTCGCAGTGCGTGGTGGCCACAGGCCTGCCTCACAAGGAGCTCGCAGGGCATCTCCCAGACACGGGTTGAGCGTCTGAGGTTTTCCGTGTCTCATCAACTTGCTTGCCTTTGTTTTCTCCCCACAGGCACGTCACTAGTTCAGCACCTGATGACAGTGCTGATCAGTGAACAGGGGCGAATCTTTGCTGTTCCTCAGGCAGATGTGCCAGGGAGCCAGCTGGAAATCAGACCTGTGCGTCAGCGCAGTACTGTGGAGTGGATCTCCGAGGAGGACACCAGGTCAGAGAACAGCATTCCCAGCCCTGCTGATTTGCCTTCTAGCAATGCTGTGGCACTAGAAGCCACTCCTGGACCTGTGGTGAAAAACACGCCTTCAGAGCACAGTGGCAAATTGACTCAGCCTGCCACCAGCCCCAACAAAAGAGTGCAGACACTGCCTCCGTGGAAATACTCCTTCCGCCAGCAGGGAGCACGGTCTGTGAGTCCAAAGCTGGGCAGCTCATCCTTAGATATCCCCAACCTCTCCTCCAGTGGGAACTGGTTGATGAATGGACTATACTCTCTCCGAGGCCACCGCCGGACAGCCTCTGGGGAACGAGTTAAAGACTCGTGTTCTTCCCAGAGACTCTCTACTTATGACAACGTCCCTTCATCCAGCCTCTCCCTTAGCACTCACAGTATGGCCAGCACCACGTGGTCTACATCATCATGTGAAATCTCCGTGGTGGACTCAGTCAGCAGCTGCCCAGCCTGCCGGGCCAGTGACTCTTCTGCTTTAAGCTCTCTCAAAACCGAGTGGATAACTCAGGGCTCACCATCACAGAGTGAGGTCAAGACTGCAGATCTGGAAAACAGCATCGACAGGTTTGAGGCATGCAGCAGCAGCAGCAGTGAACAGAGCAACCCAGCTGCAGCTTCCAGAGACTCTGTCAAATGCTCTAGGGCCTTACAGAGCTTGGTGGTGGAGCTAAAGACAGAACTGAGCAAACAGAGGACTGAGTATGAGACTAGTATGAAAAGGTAATGTCATCTGCAGGGGGGACAAGGAAGTCATCTGCCAGCATTGCCCCTGGTTGAACATGGGTGTGGGCTACCAAGCGTATCAGGTTTTCAGACATGGAGTTTGGGTTTGGGAGACAGCAGATTTGGTTCTGCTCTTTCCTCACTGCTCTCTGAATCCAACTTTTCTCTCTGTGATCTAAGGGCGGATCAAAAAAATGGGATTTCCATCACACAGGGAATTCCAATATTTCATATTCTATGTTTTCACTGGAAATCAGAACTGCACAGGTAATGCCAAAGTCTGCTCTTTGTCAGTGTCCTGGGAGAAACAGCAAAGCCAAACATCTTGGAGGGCGGGATTGGGACCCAGGGTGGTCAGCCTCCACAAGGAACTTTGTTGGTCTGTGCAAGCTTTGTACCAAATCAGTCCGAAATGGAGTCCTTCTTGGTGCTTTTCCCAACAGAACCATTCTTCAGGAAATTAATCTTGACTATTCTCCCTGGGGTTTTCTTGGTGGTGGTGGGACTGCATCTTAGCTACCACTTTTTCAGCAGCCCTTACATGTTCAAATTCTAGAAACCTTGCTTTTGATTTGTGATGTACTTGTAGTGGTCCTTTGCTCATCTGTCCAGCCACTGACTCAAAGTAAGAGCAAGGTGCTGCTTGTACAGCAGATGCATGAACTGTGCAGTTCTTTGCCCACTCTGATGTTTACTCGCACAGCTGCAACTGCTGGTGCCGTACTTTAGATCTGTGCTCAGAAAAATTCCTTCCAGTTTTCAGGAGAGATGTGTGTGAGGGCAGGGGTTGTAGGAAGTAGAAAATATTAATAACTAGGAAGTCATATTTATTCATGTGAGTTAGTATATTAGGCTTTATGAGTGTAAGTTAGTGCTTAATAGAATGGCTTTCAGGCAAGTACTCAGGGAAATACTCACATGAAATGTTGTTGCTTAAAGGGATTAGATGTTTTAATATACAGTTATACGCAAAATTGCACACCATGTTATAATACAGAAGAGCCATCATTGGCCTGGGCTCTGCAGCACTGGTACTTTATGCTGAAGAAGGGCTGTAGTCCCATTTCTTACAAATAGTTGTGTTCTCAGCTTTTTAGTGTGTGTTGAAGTCTTAATGTTATATACCCCTTCAATTATTCAAGCTCTAGTAGCATTTACATGCCTCAAATTCCAATCAGTCTCCCAAACATGGTACCAAAAACACATATGTTTGTAGGGATTGTATAGCACAGCTTTAGGCTATGCTTGTTGCCTCTTTTTTTCTTGTTGAAGTAATATCTCAAAAGTGTATCTGAACTGTGATCTCTCCAGTGGGCCAGCTGTTAAGGTAGGAATTTCACTTGCTACCTTCCTGCTTTATTTTTGGATTTCCTGTGGTGGTGGCTTGCCAGCCTCTGCAGCTTTTCTGCCTCTTGCATTGTACTGCCTTGGTATGTGAAGCTGGAAGGAGAATCAGGCTACGTAGCAGTTTCAGTTCCCACCTAACATCACGGAGCGGGAGAAAAGCTTACCCCAGCCTTGTTGTGTTCCAGGTAGAAGAGCTGATGAGAACACCACCAGCTGCTAGCATGGTGTGTTGGAAAAGGTCTGAGAATGAGGATGGTAGTTCACGGCTTATTTGTGTTTTTTTTTTTTTTTTTAGATGACCTACTGATGCAGAGTGGGAGGGAAATGAGGGTATGGATGTACCTTGCATTTAATTCTGCAGAGCTGCCCTGGCAAGCCTTGTTGCAGGGGTACAGAGTAATAAACAGAAAGGAGACCAGGCTGCAAAACTTGGAAATGTCTATCTGTATATTTTGACCTGCTGCCTGGGGGAAGAGATGGCTTTCCACCTCTTACCAGTATAACTGTTCCAGTGGGGAACATTGGACGTCAGCTATTGTTGACATCAGGGACATCCAGGAAGACTTGTTGAGCAGTTTCGGCTGCGTCAGCTCCAACACCTGCCTTTCCCCTTCAGCTGGGCAGGGACAGAGCGCACTGTGGCTGGAGGGGAGGACTGTAAATTGGCCAGGTCTCACAGGGCAAAGTAGCTAAGAGGAAAATGCCTAACGAACTGTTTCATAAATCCAGGCAAGATGCAATCACTGCCTTTTTGTATTAAACAGGATGACTCCAGCTGTTCACGATTACAGCCCGAAGGATCTTGCTTGTCAAGTCTGAGAATTTCAAGCCAAGTTTTTCAGCTCTCAAAAATTTTGCAATGTTTTTACTTCATCTGCAGCAATTTACATGTGCAAAAATACGTTCCTTTTGAGACTGCATGAAAGTCTGCTCCTGTGGAAAGACAGGAGCTAACTAGCAAACAAGGGAGGCTGCTTAGCAGGAAAACTTTGGGCTGCCTTACTAGCTTTATTTTATCGAAGGTAATTTAGTCCCCAAAAGTAATAATTAGTTCCTTTACAATTGTGCGTGTGCTTGTGTGGTTTGCAGGACTCAGTGTGTGTAGCAGGGCATGTTTGAATGAAGGAATATGAGCTTTTTGTTGGCACGTATATAAGCGGTGGGAAAGCAGAGTCAGTACCTGCCTGGGGCAGAGGTAAGGAACACTTGCTGATGGAAAAGCTGTTAATTTATCATCATCAACTGCCCATTTTCTCTCTCTTAGTCACAGGGAGGCATGTTTTATGGCCTTCCTGTAACCAGTCTGTTCCAGAGCATTTCTCCCTCGAGGTTAGTATAATTATCAGGCATTCTCTGTTGAGTTTCAGTAATTCACGTTTAGCACCTGGGACTCTTATGAAACTGGAAGTTATCTTGGAGAGAACTATTATGTTGTGTATGTAGAACCGCAGTAAGTACTGTGCCCCTGTGTAATTCAGAACATGGACAGCTAGTTTAGGCTGCTGGAGCCGACCCCTAAACTTTAATTGGTAGCTCAGAGCTGTAGGATGTAACAAAAATGTGGTAAGGCGGGGGGTGAGTGTGTGTGGGGAAGCATCCTAGCTTCAGTCCAGTCCTGTTGTATTACAGAAGATGGCTACCTGGGTGATAGAAGTCTGTCTTCGCTGAGATGGGGAGTTTTTTGCAGCTATAGTACACATTTCTGTTCACTCATCAGTGCAGCCGTTGGTCTGCTGGACTTGGTGATCAGCATGCCTGCGTGTGACTTTCTAATTTGTTGTGACAATGGTAACGTTGCCATCCTTAGCTGTATGTGAAGGAACAGTTTAAGGGTATGTATGTACTGCATTGCCTGCATAATTGCCTCTTGGTGATCACAAAACTGAAGTCAGACCCTTCTGGGACTGTCACGGATGTCCGATGTGGTGGTGGTGTGGAGTCTGTAGCATGCCCTTGTGGAGTGTCATTTACCCTGTCTAAAAATAACCCATTCCCAGCTTCACAGGGAAGCCAGGCACCCCCACAGTTCGCTATTGTACTGATCAATGAACCTAAGAAGTGGTGGTTTTGGAGTGTGGTGTTTTTTGTTTTGTGGGTTTTTTTTTTGGGGGGGGGACGGGACACTTTTCCTAGGAAAAGCCTGATTTTTAAAATCACTCCGAGTATTCTAGTAAACAGAAATTCCTGCTTGGATATACTCCCTCCTCTGTATTAACACCACTCCTCTGTCTTGCGATTAGGAAATGTGATGGGGAGGACAGCAAGTGATGTGCCTTCTGCGCTTGTTTCAAATTAAAAAAACATGAACCTTGTTCTTTGACCTCCTTAGAGGAAAGCTCCGAGTCTTGCATTGGAGCTTTGTGCACAGATAAAGTTAAGGTCTGTTCTTGAGATTCTTCCTCATGTAAAATGTTGGGTTTTGTAAAATCTTGTACAGTGTGAAAAACTTTTATTCCCCAATATCAAACTTTACAGAAAATACCATAAAATGGATGGTGAGGATGGACTGTGATCTCATTCCTACCTGACCTCCAAGGATGTTCTTCTGTACTGGACATCCATACAGGGCAACACATTATCAGGATGAAAACAGAGGTTAAAAGATTATTTTGGAATTATATATTTGAACTCAGTTTGACTGAGGAGTTAATACATGTCCTCAGACATTCAGTCTGTTGCCCAAAAGCAAGCATTGTTTTGTAAGACTTGAGCATATTTTCTTAAGCTACAAATAGAGTAGGCTCCATCTTTCAAGGAGTCTCTGCCCTTAAACTCAACATTAATGAAATGGCAATTAGTGCCCTCCTTTAAAACTTCCTCTTAGAATTAAGGTATTTTACCTCTAGGTAGAACAACTTATATTTATTACAGCTACCAGCAGTATTTATCCAGCCACTTAAAAAAAAAAAAAAAATCTTTTTTCTCCTCCCTCCCCTCTCTCTTTTGATTTTAAGAATCGAAGAAACAAGTGCAGACCTGAGGAAACAAGTGGTTAGGTTAGAAGAAGAACTGGACCAAGAACGAAAGAAATACACAATGATGGAGATAAAGCTGAGGAATTCTGAACGTGCTCGTGAAGATGCTGAGAAGAGAAATCGCCTCCTGCAGAAGGAAATGGAAGAGTTTTTTTCAACATTAGGATGTTTAACTGTTGGGAGTCAAAGTGCTAAAGTCCCCAAGTAGAACAAGCTCACATACAGCATAGAAAACTCAATTTCTGGCAAAACCAGTGAAAATGCACATTTTGTTCTGGTATACTCATGTATCATGAGTAATTCTACAGTGATTGTGCTCTCAGTGACACTTGCTCTGTGGTCTTTACATGTGCTGTAGTATTTGGGCTGGCTGGGAAAGACTGCTAAACTTAATGCTTGGAAGTTTAGATGTCAGGTTGCCAAGAATGGGCACTCTCTCTTTCCACAAATCAAAAGATACTATTCTCCGTAACTGTACTGCTGCCATCTTCAGATCTACTGCACCCATCCGTTTGCTGGCTGGAGGACAGTGGAAAGTCTTGCAAGGTGGGTGGCAAGGCCGTAAGTGATGGACAGGCTGAGCCTGGAGCTGAGGGCCTCCTACGCTTGCGCTTGGGAAGACGACAGTTCCAGTATGTCACCACATTCAATGTGGTTTAGCATATGGATTTAATATGAGGTGGTTTTCCTCCCCACTCCCTTCATGAAGTTTGTTCAAATTTGTCATTCCTTAAACTGGCATTATTTTATGAAGATGCTTCAAAAACAAAGTCTACAAACAAGATGAAGATACCGAAATCTTGACAGCTCATTAAAGTTGTTCCTTACTCCCTAAACAGTTCTGGTGCTTCACAAAAATGCAACTTATTAAAGTGTGATTAATAATCAGATTGGGCCACACAAACTCCATGGAACCTTAAATATGTACATTTTGCCCTAGGTATCGGGGGGTTTGAGCCAAAAATAGAGCAGTATTAGCTGCAAGGAAAAATCTCATAGGTTGTTACGTTGTGATCAGACATCAAGGTAGGAGAAGAAAGATTCTTATCATCAAAACACATCCAATTGCTGAGGGTTTTTATCTATAAAACTTTAATAGCAAAACCTATGGTAAGAGAAATTAGTGCAATTAGTGCTGGGAAGGGTGGGGATCTGTCTTTAATCTTCCCAGGACAATTTATGCTTAGCTGCCTTGTAACATTTCTCATGACACCAGCTGATTTTCTGTTAGTTCACAGGGAGAGGAAGGGACAGGAGGAATATAGCAAACAACCCAGCAGCCTAAGCTCACTGCTTCTACTCAAGAAAGGCATTAGAACAAAGCTGTAATTTCCAGTAATTAGCTGCCAGGGCTTACTTTCCCTTCAAGGGACTTTTGAGAAGTTCTGCATAACGTTTCTAGTGCCCTGAGCCACACGGAGCCTGCACGCAGAAAATTGTTTCACCAGATTCAGCCTGAACTCCGCTTGCCAGCCCAGCGCTCACAGCACTGCTCGCTCTTTCTTCACACGTATCTTTGACAGCTGAGGCAGCCTGGGTGTCTCAGAGGAGAAAGATTTTTAACAGAAAAGTGCCACGACAACATGAACTGGCTAAACGGCAAGTATAGACTGCAGTGAAGGTGCTCGCTTTGATTTAAGTATTTTCAAAGAATGACCTGAATCTGTCTTTTCTTACTAGGGAAGACTATAACTCATTGTCTGGAAATAACCTTAGACTGGGCTTCTTTACGTACCAGCAGATTGTACGCCTTTCAGTATTGACTTTCTCCTCATCATCTCACAGGTATCCAGGTATTTCAATATTTAAACATCTAGAAGTTAATTTGTTTCTACTTCACTATAACACTCCTCCTTCCTTTAGAAGTGTAAACCATTTAAAGTGGGCAAAAAGAAAGATTTTAACCCAATCTTTCCTAGTTAAATCAAGCAAATAGGTGAAGTAATAATCTGTGTGGATAGGTTAATTCAGTTATTTGAAAACATTTTCCCTTCATCCCAGCATATCCAGCTGCACTGGATTCCGTACTAGCCCTGCTATGCGGCAGGTGCCTGAGCGTCCGACGGGAGCAGCCTGCTGCCCGCAGGCACTACCCTCACTCTGACCTTTTTTTCCACCTCCTGCCCTGTATTATTACTGATGGTCACAACTGCTCCTGCAGGGAATATGGTGGCCTGTTTAAAAGAGCAGCATTGAGATGCATAATATGAGAAGCAACTGTTGTTAACAATGATTATGAGCTGGAAGAGCACAGGGGGTACCACACCAGTCAGCACAAAATAAACCTTAATATTAGAGAATGGGCTGAACTGGGCTGTAAGTAATTCTCTGCAAGTAGAACATCAGGACTGGTAAAAAGAAAGTTTCTACTTCCTACCTGAAGCATTCAATCCCAGTAGTAGTGGCAACCAGGTTATTTTAATACCCTCTTTTAATCCTACCCACAAAGTGGGTACCTTTCACTATATCCATCCTGACAGCCCCCATCCCTTAGACTACTTCTATTGCATTATCCCCTGTATGTAATCAAGTGCAGACTACTCCCTTTAGTTCTGGTACACTACAAATTGACTGAGAGCCTAAAACACAAATAAATATAGAAGACAAGCACTAAACAAACAGGACTGCTGGCTAATTCTCAGTGAAATGAAATGCAGCTGGAATTCTAAATATTCTCTAAGTATTTAAACTTAGGTAACCACTACATATAGCGGAACTGGGGAACAAACCCACCTATGCCAAATCTTCAGCTCCTGGATAGGATCATCTGTCAGCTGTAGTAACTGACTGCATAATCTTAATCTGGCATCCAGGATAAAATTCATTCCTCTCACCAGTTTCACAAATGAAACGGTATCCACTCAAAGCAATTAATGGAACTAACCTTTTTCTGTTGTGCTCCAGAAACAAACATCTGTTCCGCTTGTTCACAAAGAATACATTTTCAGGTCCTTTTGAAGATGATCCACTGCAGTAAATAAAGCCTGCAAGAACCTGCAAACTACCCTGTTCATGCTAAAACACACCACAGTGGGACATTAAAGTACAGCAACAGGAGCACAATGTTAATTTCCTGTCATGGGCAATTATGCAAGAAATGGGAACACACTTGTGCCCATGGAACACTATGCCCTTATCTGAGGAAGATGATATACTCTTTCCGAGCTTTAACTCCTGTTTCTGTACTCTGTCCCACCACGTCATTTGCCAACTTTATGGATCTGAGAGAGAAAACCTTATTTTGCAGACCTTTAGCTTATTTCAGCCCCTAAAGTGTCAGCCTTCTTAGCAAGCACATTTACAAGATACAGGTTTCTTGGTATTAATAAGACATGACAAAAGGCTCTTGGAATGAGACAGATACATTCTTACCATCACCACCTGTACAATCTTCCCAGCCTGGAACATCCCTTCCAGTATTATGCAGGCAAAAAAGTATAAAAAATTTTCAGTGAAAGAACCCAACACAAGCATATGCTTAACGCCCCCCCCCCCCCCCACCCCCCCCCCCCCGCAAACAGCAGCATTCCAGAATAACTAAAAAACTTACATAGCTCTCCATGGTATTTATAATATGAAAAGGAAAATTAATAATGATAACTTATTGAATTTTCTACATTTGCCCAATAGGGCTATGCAAGTCAGCAGCACTATGGAGCATTTCGGTTCTGGGCCAAAGTCACCCACAGACAAATCCCTGGCAGAGCTAAGACTGTCTCAGGCCTTGCTCTATATTAATCTAATCTATTACATGGAAGCAGCTACACTTTATATTAACATACACAAATAAAAAAAGAGCATTTTAGAGCCTCACCGCATTCCTAGAAGAGCGCCTCGCGAATAGCTGGTCCAGAGAAACAAAGCAGGCTGCACTGCACTGCCCGTGGTCACAGTACTTTTCCCTTAAAAATGTACATAAAGACAACGTAACAGCATGCAGCCAAGCACAGCTCAAGGGCCTCTTAGCGTCTTTGTTTAAAGAAAGGCTGAGAGCCTGCTGGAGCTGAAGGCAAGGGAATGCATTACTTTACTTTAGGATTTAGCCCCATGGTAGAGGTGCCAGTGGAGGAAGTGCTCCTGGCACCCAAGTCAGCTCTCCAGCAGTGAGATCCTTCAGGCTTCTCCGAGAGAGTTTTGAGAAGGATTTTCCTGAGGGCACAGAGACTGTGCTCCTTTCACACACTAGACGGCCCGTGGCTCACCTCTTTCTGCAACGCAGGGTCTCAGCAGCTGTATCTCCAGGAAGGCAGCTAGGGTTGGCAGCAAGGAGGTTAGTTAAGAATGGATTACCAGCGGTTGCAAACACACCTGGTATTAAGAGTCTGTAGCACATCCAAAGCCCATGGGAATGGAGAAATGGAAGAAACACGTCACTTTGCCGACAAGTGAGCTCACACACAAGACAGGACTTTACCGCTAAAAACAGATGAATTCTCAGGAAGGACTGATGCTAATAAGACTCCAACTGCAGCCTTATTAGGAAAATCCATTCCACCTAGCAATGAAGAAACACTAAATGCATAGTGGTCAAACTTTTTTTTTTCTTTTTTATTTAAAATATCATTATAACCAACTGACATACTAGATAACAATGTATACATTCCAGTGGTGCACATGTAATGACCTATGGCATGAATGAGTAAAAAAACCACAATGTTCTCAGTAATGCCCCACCAACAGCTTATTTGGAGGGAATAAAGGAAAAGCAGGTATCAAATGTGGGGAAGAAAAAAAATTTTACAGTTTTCCCCAGTATTTTTAATGGTGTATCTTCCCCTTCATATTTCTTGGGACAAAATAAAATTAAGAATATACTTCAAAAGGGGCAGAAGGAATGATCACAATAATTAGGGTGTTTTTTTTCTCAACTTTAGTAATAAAAGTTAAAGAACTCTCAAAAATAGACTAGATATTGGGCCTACAAAAGTAATTCATCTGTATGCAAAGCTTACCAAGAATTATTCCTTTTGTAAAATGTAAAGGATGAGCTGACATTACTAGTAAGCTATTTTTACCTACAAAACCAGACTACAATAATAAAATCACGAATTTACAGCTAACACAATATTCTAGATGTACATTATTGTACACAAGCTATATATTACACATTAACATCTTACGTGAAATGTGTAAGAAACATACTTACTGATAGTGTCTCAACATTGGCCAAAAGGTTTATTTTTCTAAAGGAAGTGTATTTTTCTATTCACATTCAGTGTAGTTCCAATAGCAAGGGTTGGCTTTGCTTACTTAAGAAACATAGAAAGTTTGTGTGAGGTAGTTCAAGAAAACCTAGCTTAAATTTTTAACTACAGAAGTAGAAACACAATGCGATCTGATTCATAAGACGTTTCTGTAACGCAGAGATATCTAAAGAAGAAGAGACGGGAGTGAAAGAGATCACTTAAAATACCACTTTTATCCAGTGCCCTTAACTAAGAATAAATTAAGTGAATTGAAGATTTGGGTAGGCAGTAGACTCTCATCACATTTCTCCATTAAAGCCCTCTTTCTAATTTTACAGAAAAATGTTGACAGCTCTCCTTCAACTCCATTCCTCAAACTAAACATGTAGGAACCAAAACATTGATAGGAAAATAAAACGTAACAACATGGACAAGCTGCTGTCAACAGCAAATAAAAAGAGGATCTAGAAGCAGTAATTCACTCCTCTAGCAACTTGAAACAGTAAGACCAAGTGTAAGCTGAACCGTCTTCTCCCCCTTCCCCCATAATCTTAATGGAGAAACACTTCATGCCATACACTCTGGATTGTTGGCTGGGTAGGAACTATTCTCCTGTACCAGCTGTTTGATCATTTTCCTTTACGCAATGTTGAGATGAATGCCATATACATTAATGCAGGAGCACTATATTCATGCAAACGTGTGTCAAGGTGCTTAATTTTTGCTCTATATCGAAATAGCCTGCGTTCAGAGAAGCAATTTTCCACGGAACAAACCCGCATCAGTAACACGGTACTTCCACGGACGCTGAGGCAGCAGAGGGTGCTGTTGCCACAACCGCCTCAAACACAGCTCACCCAAAATTCAGGTGTGTGTTGGCAGCAGTGCTTACCAAACAAGTTATGCTGATATTATCTTTGTGTCTAGCTGGAACTCCTATCCAGAAAGATACTATTGCATATAGCACAGTAAGGTTCTTCTAAACTAAAAAACCCAAGCCACACAGTGCCTACACAGGGCAAAGCGCCACGTCGATTCGGCATAGCAGAATGAACGCGTTAGAGGTAACCTGGTCAGTCAGGCTGCTCTAAGGTTGTTCAACTGATGGGTATTGCTCTGGCAACCCCGCTTCTCACACACGCCAACACACAAAAACCTCAATTCTGATCCCCTTGTCTTGCATTAACACAGGCTTCACAGCGCAGAGGTGCAGCACACAGTAACAGTACTAATTCCCCCACCCCCCCTTCTATGTCAAAATCTTGAAGAACCTACTTCTACAAAAGGAGAGGAGATGTTTTATCCTTGACGAATGACACAGCTCTGACCAGAGAAGGTGGAAATTAATCTCATTATTATTGCCGAACTTTTAACTTCACCTGACGACGTAAGAAACCAGGCCCAGCTCAGTTAATTCAATGCCCACCCAACTCCCAAGGGATCGGAGCGGCCCTAGAAGAGGAAAGCTGCATGCACTTTAGTGAAGCCTGTTGTCATGAGATGATTTTGGAATCATAAACTAAACTAAAATAAAGCTTAGTAATACTTTAACAATAAAATTGTACAGTGTATTACATAGTATATGAGCTAACAAGATAACAACAGGCAGACAGTTGAAGTCTAGCTACCCATTTGTTTGCTATCTGTGGCAGTGTACAACTATCTATGAAATAATTTTATATTTCAACAAATAAAAAGGGATCTTCAGACTACCATGTTGTTGTGATAATTTGGTTACTGAATCCGATTTTTCTTGTCTTTGAAATTTGCCATCACTTTTAATTTGCCCAAAATGCAAGCAACTGCAGAAAACAAACAAACAAAAAAGCAACACTGCTATGAAGGTGGTGCCAAAAGTGAACTCTGCGTTCCCACAGGCAAAGCTCTGACCTTACTGAAATAATCCCTTTAAACATAGTTCACTCACACTGCAATGGGTTGCAGTTGACAGTCCCAGCCATTCATCAACCCTAACTTAAAAGTAGAAAAGCCCAGTTCTCCTTAGAGCTTACGAACCCAGTGAAGTTACTATTGATAGCAAACTCTGATAAAAGCCTTGTAACTGTTTCACTCAGTATTAATGTTAAAAGCAATTTTTCTTTAGGACACTGGAAAGTGATAGCAAAAATTATTTTACAGTTTCAACATGTTTCAGTCACCACTGCAATCCAGAGGAGTCCAAAACAAATTTAAACAGGAATTGCATTTACCAAATTCCCTTCTTAACAGCACTTACAGGCATCAGAAGTTCATTTTGTCAGTCTTACCTTCATTACACTGGGTGGACCAGAATATCACTTGACCCCATATAACAATGGAGTACTGTTGTATCACCAAAAGTTTTGGCTTAATTCACAGCTTAAACTTTGATAAAAAACTACAAAATAGACTGTTCTGTTGGTCTCTGTTCAACGTGAGCAGATTTTCTATGTTCCAGTGCTAGAGAAATCCAAGTATGTCCTGCCTATTCTGAGATAATATACAATTTGGCAGGATCTTGTAAAAATAATTGCCTTAAAAAATGTGGTTTAGAAAGGCAATATTGAAATATTAGATGCAAGTGATGAAAGCAAAATTACACGCACACAGCACTTACCAGCAGTCTAGCCAGGCCAGGAAAACAACTGTGCAGTTTATCAATTTAGTCATCTTTGAGACATTACCATTCCTTGTAACCCTGTATGTTTTTTAAAAAGACACGTTAAGATATTGAAAGCATTATCATCACTTCTATTTTTCTGAAACTTACTCCAAAGACAAATTTTCCTCTTTCAGTTAGAACTTCAGAAAGAAACCTATTTAACCCAACAAGCAGAAGGAACCACACTGAAGAGCATCAGTCATTCCTGGATGACCTCTGTAGCCAGTTACGTTATTTTCTTACACTCTGTGCCTGGCAAGACTTCTGTATTTTTTTTAAAGCTCATTTTTGTGAGCATTACTAATTTAAATTCCTCTTCACATTCTAATCCACTACACAAAATATGCATCTACACAAGGCAATCAATTATACAGCCTAGCTTCACTAAAAATCTGCATTTTCCAAAGGAATAAATTCTGAATGATTGCTTAACTCATACATAAACTTAAGTCACTTATACATAAATCATTCTGTAAATACAAAATGTAAACAGTTAAAATACTTCTGTGAGGAGCAGCACCATTTTACATGACTACTTAGTAACTGTTCTATATATTTCAATAAATCTTTTGTTTATAAAGTGTATTGAAACCTGGAGCTTCAGTGCTGAAATCTGCTGAATATTTATGACTTAAAATGAACCACTGTTAAGATTTCTGCTACACTGCCTCATGGTGAAATGAAAGAGATAAATATTAATTTATACAGCACTACTTCTCCCTCCTTTGGATGACATATATTGCTCACTTGATGCATTAGCTACAGAAATCCTGAGGTTCTCCTACCACTTCATGTTTTTAGCAATCAGTTACTTTTGGTGGAGAAAGAATAGCTGGAGTTTTGCCCCTATTGCGTTCATGTCACTCCCTCTTCTACCCAAAAAGCACTTGCCTTAATAGACAAAACTAGTAAGAAACAAGAATCACATGTTACATGAACATATAGCTACAGCATATTCGTTTTCCCTGTTGGCAGTCTAGACATCCTGGGTACACTTCGTTTTGTGTGTACAAAAACAGGCTACAAGCTAGAAGTAAACAGTTTATTTGCATTGCAGTGTATTATTCATGAAGTATCCTTGCGTTTTACGGTGATCACAAGATTTGGCATGCCACAACTCTGCAGAAAACATCACATTACTTTGTTAGGCTAGATATTTCTGCAGCTTTGGAGATACGTTTTGCTTGCTTAAGTTCATAAAACCATTCAGATGAGGTTACTTTGCAAAGGATTGTATACTGTTTCACTAAAAAAATTTACTAATTGTTGCTTTTGCTGAAGTATTATAGGCAAGTGGCCAAAATAAGAGAGGATTTTGTTCACTGCCAACACCACAGCAGTATGCCCAAATCTACACCTGGCTCCACTGAATTCTCTCCCCCTCCACCTGGACATGGACATATGACCAAGCATAAAACTTTGAAGGATATCATGAACAAAACATCTGGAATAAATTCTAATTAAAAAATTGAAAACCTATAAAATCTTAAATAATTCATTATATGGTAATGACCACAACATGAATATGTGCATTGATAAAACAAATCTTACAAATTCAGTAAAAAAAGATCAGCAGCATAATAGTAAAGCAAATATGCAGATTTTAAAACCACAATAAAAATTATCAGGTTTAATATTTTACAGTTAATTACAGCAAAAAAAGTGGCTGCTTTTAACACAACTTACAGTTTAAAATTACAGCACTTTATGATGAATTCTACGAAAAAACACTCAAAAATACCACCAAATTTTAAAGGTGCCCTATTAATGGACTAAAAGGACCCCCCTCCCACCCCTCAAAAGACCAAGTAGTCATCTACAGCAACCCAGAGGTCCAGCTGAGGTTTCTAGACTGCTGTCTGTATCAGAGGCCAATGTTGGATCTGTTGACATTGAGGACACATCATTGACAGATGACGATGAAGATGGATGTTGAGAGCTATTGATCATTGCTGCACCTGTGCTATGAGAAACAAAACAGCAAATCAGTTGCAGATACAGTTGCATGGTTCAGTACTTGCATTAGTCTGTCTCTTCCTAATAGCCATGACTTTCCCCTGTTTCATCAAGTTTGAAGAGCTGTGTCTCAATCTGTTGTCAAAATAAATAAAACGTGCAAGTCTTTAACATAGGGCTTAATGAATGGTATGCCAAGAACCACAGAACTCACACGGCATGATACCTGTCAAATTACAATAAAATGCTAATGGCTAAAGGTTAAAAATCACAGAGAGAGTACTGCATAAAGCCAGGGCTAAGATATCCTACTGAATGCTGAGACCCAAAGCTAGAATATATCTACATATTTAGACAAAGAAAGAAGGAGACTGTTGTTTTTTCCCCTCTCCTTCAGGCTGGGAAATAGCTGGTGTTCAGCCACATTGTATACACTCAATCTCAGATATGCAATGTTTTTTCAGGGTCTGGACTTCCGTGAACTCTTCAGCAGAGCAAGCAACAGCTGTCCAACTCTTGCTATCATTTTTCAACAATGCAAATGGAGTCCTATCAATGATCAGTCAATGGTCACATTTTGCTCCAACATTCAGCAACAGTTTATGAAAATGCTCCATAATTTTCCTTTGTTTAGAGGGAATATTCAAGGCAAACAACTTAGAAATCCTGTTTTGTTACTTAATAGATATAAGTAGTGGTTATATCTTTATTTGAAACTGCAGCAGCTACAAGTTACACATCTTACCACATTATGGCAATGGAGTATCAGTACATACCAAGATGCTTCTTGAGGACTGAAATGAATGAAGCATCAGTTATATGGGTACAATAATAGAGGAATTTACCAGATTAATAGAAAGAGATGTCAACCCCATACATTCCATTCAAATAAGCAATATCTCAAAGAGAATTCAAGAGGTTATTGGTCATTTAATAGCCATATTTTTGAGTTAGGTTACTCTTGGATGTCTTGAACAGCTTTACTCCCTCCTGACCTACAACTCAATGTAGCTTTATACCGTGCTTTTATTGTAACCAACCTAAAGGGGCTGGTTGTCCACGTATAACCCCATTCTTGGTTCTCTCCTCCAGGTCCATGACTTCCTTGTATATCAACTCTGAAAACATAGAGAAGGGGAGGCAAAAAATGAATTTGCAAACCCAAGACTGGATTGATAATACATCTCCCATTAAAACGTACATTTAAATTTCATAGGCTTATTACTGTTTAGAATTACTTTCGAACAACTGAAGGCTGTAGGCTGCAGAACAACTGGCAAGTGATACAATAATGTACAGTTTTTTTCTGTTGGAGCTATAATGGCCTGGCACTCAAGAACATGTTGACACTGCTTTAAGATTCTCTTGTCCAGGCTGCTTGATATTAAACTAAGTCTTAATGAGCAATCAGTTTTTATCAGTGGCTTCTTTGGTACAGATGAACTACATCAGCAGTCTGCAAAGGAACAGGTAGGAACAAGCCCAAACAGCATCACCATCATCCCAACACACATTGGCCACTGTATTTCCTCAGCAACAACATCTAAAGGTCCAGATCACCAGGAAATGGAATACTATCTTGGCATATAAGTAGTCAATCCAAAAGAAAGAAGCAACTTTATCTTCCAGTTATAGAATTTCCTCATCCTTAAACAGGTCAGAAGTGCTTGTAACATGAATCCTACGCCCTGGGTACTGGCTAGAAGGTGTCTACACTAAAGGCAGCTTATTACCCAGAAAAGACTTCAGCTGTGAATCTACAGAAATAACAATAGAAGAAAGGACTAAACATGTTAAATGCAACTCATAAGAACTGCCTGTCAGAATACTTATCTGTCACTGGCAAACCAGTGCAATGCACAAACAGTTTCGAAGTAAAAAACATTTAAGAATCATAATTGCAAGGGCTGTGGGAGTCTCAAAAGCAAGCTCCTTATTGCTTGAAAAACCTCCCCACAGCACATCTGCTTCAAAAGGGAAATAACTTTGCTTGGAAGGAGGATGGTAAGAGAATTTCCACAATTCTCCCTATCTCTGCCTTTACCATTAAAATTCAGTTTCTAATAGAAAGTCACTTAAAAGTGTGGTAGTACTAGATTTTACAGACTCATGTCCACTACTAGCCAACACAATGAAACTGTCAAAAATGATTCGTGAAGCATTTTCCTTGCTTTTTTCCCCACTGGGGACAGGTCTAATGTCCCTTCCTAGACTTTTTTCAGTACAAAGTATTAGATTGTTCAGTGCACTACATTTTTGCTTAAATGCAACATTTATAGCCCGCACAGCACTCTGGATCAGTATTTTTTCTCAGCACTAAGACCTCTGCAATAACATCACACCTTGTAGAAGCAATTTCAAAAACAACGCATAGGCTTTACAAGTAACAAAGATGTTCCCCTTTTACTTTATCATTTTATACCTCATTTATATAGATACTAAACCAGTACTGAACACTAAAAATGATGCTCTTGGAGGTACAAGTTTCATGTCATACTACAATCCAATCCACACGTTGACCTCAGCTACTTTCTCAGGATCCAATGGCTGATAACCATCATTGTTGCCCGCACCAGCTGTAACCTCACTATCTCACCCATTACTAACACTCCTTATGGCTTCTTCATTCAAATCTTCTGCTTGATTTAAAAGACTATAGTTATTGCTAATATGTTCTTCACTTGAAGACTAGTGCTTCTACTTCAGGCTTACATTGCTCGAACTCCTGCACCTTTTTCACCTCCAAGAGTTTGTCCAGAAGAGTTACCCTCCCTAAAAACTCTGCTTTAAGGTTTGCAAAAGGCAACTGAAATGAGGAGTTCTACAACTGAGTAAACTTAAGTTCACTGCAAAAGTTCAGCACCTTCACAGGAAAATTTCTGGTGTCTTGAAAATCAAGAGGTTGTGAGGCACTGATCTACTCCCTTGCCATTCCAAGCAGTTTAAGTATATACTGTTAGTATGCTCAGAAGAACCATCCTTATAGGAATTCTTGTGGCCCGGCCTACTTCCAAAAGCCTTAGTATACTTAAAATGTCCTTCTTACCTTTCCATTCTTCTATCGTGTGCTCCCTCTCATCTAACTGTTTATCAGGTATCTTTGGTGGAGGCTGAAAAACAAAACTAACTCATGATAAAGCAATAAAAAGGGATACAAAAACAGAATAAATGAAAAATGAAAGTAAGGCATTCAGAATATGAATGTGATTTTAAAATACTACAGTTACACAGTCAAATACTCTCCCGTACTTGGCCTATTTTCTAGATGCTGCTAGATGTTTCAAACTTCTCCTCTTTAACAGACTTGCTTACATTACTGTAATAATTAAAATAGAAACTGAACAGTCTGGTAAAAAAAAGCTCCTAAGTGCAGCATCCAGCCCAAGCAGCCCTTTTCACCTACTTACTGTTAATTACTAAATTTTCCCTCTAGCTATTATATATCATCAGAATTTTAATTGCACCATTTACATCGGCATCTTTTTCTATTCTTAGTGGCCCATCACCAACTATCATGCACTTAAAAAAATGAAACTTTTCTCATAAGCTGAAATTGTCCTGAAATTTTTTAAGAAACATTTTCAATTAATCCCTTTGTTCATTAGTGTTGATAATTGAAAGCTCAAGATCATGTACTCAGATTTTGCTGAAACACTTATTTTCTAGTTTAAGAGTACAGTCAATTGCTACAACTAATGAAAATATTTCTCTTGCCAAGGAGTAAATACCTCAGAAACCTATCAAGAGCAAATCAAACCACACTGAAACAACTGAAGCTCAATAAATCAGAACCTATGATTCTGTTCTATATAAAAAATTTCAGATGCATTACCACATGTCCAGGAGATTGTATGTAATTATACAGAAACACACCCACACAGATACAGGTACTTCAGCTACCTGCAAGTTTGCACCCATTCCTAGTACTATTTCTAATAAACATGTCAATTGATGTCAATGAAAATGATTACAGTTCAGTTAAGCTTCTAGTGAAACGTGTAGATCATGCAATAATCTTCTTTCAAGCAGTTAAATCAAGCATCACAACATGTTTTAGTACAGCACCTTCTATTCAGAGATCGAAAACAAGAACTTACAGCTTCTGCTTCCGATGGATCATACCAAACGTTGATGTATGGGTGCTGCAGGGCTTCATCCACAGAGATTCTTTTAGAAGCATCTATAACCAGCATTTTTGATAACAAATCCCTTGCTTGACTTGCTGCAAAAGTGAAATTGTCTATTTAGACTAGTGCCATATATAGTGCACATAACAGTATTGCAAAGCTCATAAGGAGAGGAGACCCAGAGTAAACAAATTCCAGTTTAATATCTATACAACCCTCACATAATTTGGAGATTAGGAAAGCAGTCCATTTCATGGGAAAAAAACAAAACACAAAAAAAATTAAGAGAATAATACAGGTGGGAAAGGCGTTGGACATGTTTCACTGTAACATTTGCAGCATACGGCACCCCTTGGCGTGACATCCTTATGTGAAATACAACTCAGCTGGCAGTACAGCCTTGTCTGGAATAGCAGTGGGCAAACACCTACTACCCCTCTCAGAGTTTATGGGGAAAAAACTGTCACGCACTGTTAGTCACAGAAAATATGGTGAGTCTGTGACTGGTAGAACCAGAAAGTTATTTCAGTAACTACAGGAAATCTATGTACTATGAATAGAAAAACCTTTCTTTTCATCCCTAGAGAACAAAGATCTGCTCAGCCTGCACGACTTCTATTCCACCCCCCCAACTCTTCTGTAAACCGTGTTGGCATCTGTCACTAGGTGGAATACTTATATTTACCTTTCTTTATAAAGTTATCTCCAGGATAGGAGCTGTTTCAGAGAGGATGAGAAAGTGGAGGTAAGCATACGCCAGCATGTTCACCCACTCCCATGATATAAATATTGTGATATTTAAATCCTTAGCGGGATGATTTTATAGTGAGCAAACCCAAGATACATTTCTGTTCAATATATCACAGTTTTACAACTTTTAAAATATACAACACACAGAAGACAGACCTTACCTTTAAGCTTATTGTGTTCAGAGTCAGCTGGGAAAAGGACATCTGGAAAGAGTTTTTCAAAACTATATCCAGCATATTTAGGTCTGTTCTCCACATAAGTTCGGACTGTAGGCTGTAATTTCTTCATAAATTCAGGGCATGGTGTTCCTAGCTGCTCTATAACTTTATTCCATTGATCAATATCTAAGGTTATGCAGCTAAGAAAAATACTGTGTCTAATTTTCAGCTAGAAAGTTATGTTAAAACCACATGAAATAACCAACAGTGAGAAAACAGAAAATTATAAGAAAATATCAAGTTCATCATTATTAATTCAACTACCTTCTTAGAGAAAACAGTGAAACAAAGCAATACTATGATAGTCAAGGCAACATGTATTTTACTCAAAATCATAATTAACTAGTAAAGGATATACTTCTGAGAAACAGAAAATTCAGAGACGCACAAAATTTATTAAACAAATTTAAGTAAAGGCATTGTTTGGCTTCTGGAGAAGAACTCACTTCCCAATTTGAACACGTACTGACGGCAGTCAAGCTACTATGCATCACCAAGGCACCCGTGAGAACTACCCTGTGTAGGTGCTTTGTCCTTCACTCTCATCTTTCTACCTCAGCCCAGTCCTGGGCTCTCCCTGGTTACAGATCTCTCACTAACAACATGCAACACTGAGCACCAGTGGGCACACAAAGGATGAAAACTTGGCCCACACAGGTCAATGACAATTTTGGCAGAGACTTGAATGCAGAAGTTAAAGAATTTCAAGGATGCGTAAGGAACATCTTAATTGAAAAGTTTACATAAGGTAAAGGGGAGATTGACCAGTTCATGACAGAAGAATTCAATATGTGTTACTGAATAAAAAAAACAATGTTCGGCTCAGGAATTCCTATTTGCATATGGCTAGATACTTGGGAGAGAGCTCAGGTGAAATTTTATATATGCTTATCTCATTCACATATTCTCTTTCTCAACTACTCTTTTCAGCTACCATCACAGACTGGATACTGGGCTACCTAAACCTTCAGTCATGTAGGAGGCCCCCTCCTGTGTTCTTAAAACTTAACAGCAGACCTTTATATAAGGGTTTCCAAGCTCTATAGTTCTTTAGTACAGGTCTTGAAAAAAAAAAAAAAAGTATTTACATTTACGGCACTGAGCCTAAATTGAAAAGCCAATGCCAGCAAACCAGATGCATAAAGCTAAGCATGGTGCAGCTCATGCAATGACAGGGCCGTGTGAAAGTAAGGATGCCCTGGATCTCCTCACTGTGCCTCAAAATCTTCATCCAATCTTCACCCCTAAATGGTATTATGTCAACCATTAAACAGTCAACCTGCAGCAAAAGCAAGAAAGATTTCAGACAGCACCTAAACAACTGGAGTGTAACTAATACTAAAACAAGTAAGATGCCAAACTCCAATTAGATATCCACTAATTTTAGCAATGACCCAGAGGATTCATCTCTATTTGCTTGGAGCAGACCCTTTCTCTGAAGTATTGTTCACAGGACAACCTACTCAGATACCACTAAGGGGTTCATGGAATAGAAAGAGGGAAATGTCAGATATTGCTGAAAGCTGTTTACAGGTTCATTTCTGCATACAAAAATGTAAACCTCTGAAGTGTTACTAATGAAGCTGGTTAGGAATTTTTTGAAAACATTTCCTATAAATGTAAAGAATAATAACTGCTAACACGCGCGGGTACTAAACAAGATTAGTAAGTTATTACATAAAAATGATCTCCAAAGCAAAAATCAATGCATGTGAACAGTAAAACACCACCTAAACAAAAGAAACCAGTCTTAAATGTGACAACATCCGAACGCAATGGATAGACACGATATTAAATTGGAAAAAGAAAAAAAGAAGGGGGGAAAAAAAGGAGATAGGAAAAAGGAAAAATAAGCCTCTTTGCCCAAGTGGTATTTTGTTCATCTTGCTTATTATTAATCTCTAAAGACAGTCATACACGTTAATGCTCTGTTGTGGTTTTGCTTTAAATGGTGTAACTGTAGACATTTTTGCAGCTTCCTAGAACCAAAATAATAACTTGCAAATTGTATTTTGAAAAGGCAGTTTAAAACCAGTACTTTAAAACTTAGAACCACCTTAATCTGGAACTATATGGCTGCAGATTCTTTTGATCTTTTACAAATATATCCTAGGCCAAAGGTAAGGATACGATCTGTACCAGGAAATAAAACACCACCTTTGATCATTTCTCCCATGATGCACCCAACTGACCAAATGTCAACTGAAAACAAAATGCAATGATATTAACATAAAAGATAGTTATTAAAATAAACAAAAACATCTAGACACACACACATGAAGTGACTCTAAAAAGCGTGTGTAATGAAAATGAGTGAAGGTGAATGTATGCTAACTACAGGACCAGCAGAGACTATGTCCTACTGCTAGGTGCAGCCTGAATATAAATGAAGTTATTAATTTTTTTACGTGTATCACAAGAAAAAAAATCCATGTTCATTTAAAAAAAAATAAAATTGTACAATACGCATTTTCATGACACAACATCAATAAAAAGGTTAATCACTTCCTAACTAATTCAACCTGCTGCAGCAGCACAAGGATACAGTCCCTTCCTGGAAAGAGGATTTTGTGGCAAACCATTTCGCCCATAATGCACCCCACAGACCATAAATCCACTATGTTTGTAGCACAAAAAGAAGGAAAAGCAAAGCAAACGGTCATTAAAATTAAAAGAAGCATAACATGACTGCATCCTATAAACTGCAGAGACAGCACAGGAAGAAGACCAAGTTTTTATATTAATCAATGAAGAGACTTTAAAATACACCATATATAAGGATTAGCTTTTAACTGTCTCAAATACAAGGCAGAAAAACATCCTTTTGTTTAACATAGTGCTAGAGCAAGAGCTGGAGCAGAGAGGGAGAGAGATACACACGAATCAAGCAGAGCAAAGCCCTGCTCCAAGCTCTGAGGCTTGCAAAGCTACCTCTGCCAGCAGACTAGATTGGAACACCAAAGATAACTATTTCTTGAAAGTAATTCCATTGTAGTTGTAGGAATAATTTTAAAAGCAGCAAAGTAAACTGACCTTTAAAAATACTGCCTAAGCAGTTTATACTTTTAGGAGGAGGATTAATTGGTTATTACATAGGAATTAATATTTGCCACCAAGTATTTCCTAAAAGTCAGATTACCATGCATATCTCTCTCCCTCTAAATGAAAAGCAAACACAATCAGTAAAAGATCACTTAGAATTTTAGAGGATCAGTTAATGATAATATTAGTATGCTCCCAAAAGATTTTTAGTTAAAATTATTTGTTTAAAAATATTTCTCCAGTTAAGCTGAAATAACATCTTGTACAAAAGAAAAACTCAAAAGCAATTTTTTAGGCTATGAAATACACATTTTCTACATTACCTTAAAATAAATCACTCAGAAGACATACTCAAAGATGCACAAGTTTACTTTTTACAGGTATGCCAATTTCTTTTGCGGTTGCTTTCAGAGATACTGTTAGCTCTGTATGCAAAAGTTTACTTGAAATCATAATAATGAATTTTTATTATTATCAATACTTTTATGTCAAACATGACACTGGAATTTCATTAAGCAGATAAGGGGATTAAAATGAGAACAATTGTATACTAAAAATCACATGGAAAAGTTCTGAAGGAGCTCAACAATGTCAAGCAAACAATGTTGCTTCTTACTGAAAATATTGCTTCCCCCTTTATTTACAAGTTCCTCTAAAATAGTATCTAAATCATGACAAGAGATTATAGTTGTACATATTAATAGGTTAAAATTAAGGGCCTGGTTCATTTAAAAAAAGAATTGTCTACAATTTATGATTAATGGTGTTTTATCTTTAAAAAAAACTTTTCAAATACTTGAAGAAAAGTACGTGTTCTTTGGCTCACAGACCCAACAATTTGAAGCCAAGTTTTGCATTTGACTTTTAAATAAAATTCTGAATGACTACTTTTTCACCTGCAAAACAATCTGCTGCCATCACAAACCAAAATATACCCAAATCTACTGTAAATAGTGTCCATCTGACATGATAAAAATTATGCCCATAATTGCATGGAGAAGTCTGGGAAGAGAAATAACATAAGTCAACGACTTCTCTTCATGCCTCACAAAAACGACTTCAGAGGCGAAGAAAAACATTAGAAGTAATTCCTCTGGTCACCCTGCAAAACAAACTTGCAATGCTTGGCGTCTTTTGGTTTGGTGCTTTTATTAATCAAACAAAACCTGTCCATTTATAGGTCCCTAACTTTTTTATGAAGTTAGACTAATTTGTACATAGAGGACTGCTCCTGTGAATACTTCTAGAGAAGACTGAGCCAAATCTTTAGAAGGATTTTTCAAATCTGTAATAAGAGCTACTGCTTGTTGTACACAGTGTATTTTATTCTTAAAAAAACTTGTTTGAATGAACTTACTATTTTCTCTAATTCTAACAGAAAAAAAACTAAGTGAAAATGAATTTCAAACCAGTGTACATACTAGGAAACTTAAAAGTAGTAGTTTCAGAGGTTTTGGGGCTTTCCTTACTTTTCAGTGCTTCCTTCCTGATAATCATGCACATAAATATATTATTGATATATGTTAAGGTATGTGTACATGAACAGTTTTCATGTCCTTCAGTTCTGAATTTCTTGAGTTTGCAAGGCCTGGTTTCTTCATGTAATACACCCCAATGTGCTTTACCTCCTTCAGCATCAAAACCTATGTAGAAATTAACTCTATCATCAGTTTGTCTGGGATCTTTTCCAGTTTTTAAACAATAAAGATTTCAGATGTGTGTAGTATAGTATCAAAACAATACTACTCTGCAGTACGTATCTCAGTCGTCAAAACATATATTGCAATCCTCCCGCATCTTGTCTGAAGGGGAAGTTCAGTAGGGCACTGAAATGGCATAAAGCTGCCCAATGACCTTGTTCAATTAAACTAAATGCTAATGTTAACCATTAGTTAGCTGTCGATTTTCAGTATCTAACTCTAAATTAAGTAAGTTAACTCTTAATGTAACTATGGGTTTAAAGGGCTAAAACAGGCATCAATGCTAACAGGTGAGGATCGTGGACAGCCCATGGTTCTTACTCTAAGTACATCCTTGATACCTGCCTCCCCATCAGGGGAGCTCCACAATGAGGAACTCATCAGGCAGCGATTGAGAAATGACAACAGTACATATGGAAACGCAGATTATTTTCTGATTCACTTAGCTAACAGATTTCCTTTTACACGCTCCAAAAGTGTCATTCTCAACTCAACGACCATGTATTTGGCTTTGGGGAAGATGCGATAAGTTTTTCAAATGACAGTATATTTTTATTTATATCCTGCTGCACAACACAATTCACGCTTGCTTAAGGAACAGCATTGTCACTAGCATGACAGGGTGCTCTAGAACACAATCTATTTAACTCCAATAATAACCTAAGCAACATTTTAGTGGAACGAATGTTTCACGCTTTCGCAACTCAAAAGTACTTAGTATTTAAGAGAAAAATGTAAACTGGGCAAGCTAAGTCAGAAAACTTTTGACTTCCATTGTATCAATTCCTTCTGTACGGCAGCTACATGACTCAGACTACAGCTTTAGGTTCTGTTATCTAGTGTCTCTTAACTGGCCAATGTAAAGTCTTGGGGAAAAAAAAGGAGAGACAAACTTAAATATATGCTTTCTACAAAACTTCAGCAGTTAAAAAAAATAACTTTAAGTGTGCTTCACTCAACTTCTGACTTCTAAATTACAGGAAAAACAGCCAGCCATGGAGGCCATTTGAAGGAATGTACATACACACTAACAATCCAAACAGAAATAAAAACCACAGCCTTGTGATAAATTCCTTTGAGCTGGCTTCCTTCATTGTCAACACCGATAGAAGTTACTCTTTTTGGCTTTTATAAACGACAACAAAATCAACTCTCTAGCCACAGAGCAGCTACCATTTACGCAAAACCTGAAGCCACTTGCCGTAATGGTATGCAGTTGCCAGGGAAGTTTGCAGACTATATTAAGAATCCTGAAAAGCAGAGCAAGCCCCAGTTGTGTCAGTAACCTGAGGAGCCATGCCTCACATCACCCGGAGACAGCTAACAAAGCCTCAAGCATCACAGCACCTCATGGGTCTTACTGGAGGACTAATCAATAGAGGGTTTAAAATACCTTCAGCAAACGGTGACCTCTGTGCACTGTGCCTGCCTGAGGGGGGGACACCAAGCCAGCCAAACTGACCACAGTGACAGCCCATCAATGAAATGGCAGGAGAATTGGGGCCGCTACAATAGAACTTCAGGAGTGACATGTTACTTACTTTGGTTTCCTAAAGGATACTAGCTGTTTCATTCAGAAGATGCAATGTACTTGATGGTGCGTTTCCCTCAAATGCTGTATCCTTTCCTTATTTTCTTACAGAGGAGATTGAGAGAAGAGGGGCCACAGAACAAGTATAAAGAGGAGGGAAATGTATGCAAGCAGAGGGACAAAGTAAACAAATTTCCTTGGAATTCGTCATGGACCTCAAAGAATCTATGTTGCTTCATGACAGTGCTCTCTGCATTCTTGTCTCAAGTATGTAATTTAATTTGTCTTCAGCAACATTAAATAAAAACTTCGTGTGACAAGTCTAAAGTAGGCAGGTTTTAATAATAACTAATGCCACAGTAGGTAGTTTTAGCTTGTTCGTTCCTCAGTAGCCTTTAAGTTTTTACATCCTGAAAGGCTGTATTGAATATAGTTATTTAAACATTAAATTTAGGACACGCATTTACTGATGAATTACAATTTACATCCTCATCAGGAATAAGGTTGGGTGAAGGTATATCAAGGTACATACTACGTATTAAAAAAATATATTTCCAGTTCTTCCTGGATGAAACTTAATCTATGAAGCAAGTTATTTACATTTTTAAACAAACAAGGCCCTCAATTTCTTTTCCTATTAAATGCAAACATTTCTAATGGGTTGAGTTGAATAAATAGGTGTATCCAGAACCTACATTTTGGTCACAAGGCTAATTTATAAAATTTCTACAGCTTGAAAAAAACATTAACATGTAAAATGTGGTGTGCCAAACAAAAAATAAAGCTATGCCAAAGAAAGACTATATTTGCTGACCGTTTTCTTTGTATCCCATCCCTAGGATGACCTCTGGTGCTCTGTAGTAACGAGTCACTACATAAGGCGTCATCATAAAACTAGTTCCTGCAGTTCTGGCCAGTCCAAAGTCAAGAATCTTCAAAGTGCAGTCTGACTTTACTACTATATTACTGGGCTTTAAATCCTTTAAAAAGAAACATCATATATGACTGCTAAGACAAGCACGAAGTACTCTGTAGTTCACATTTTTAAAAGATAATACTGCTAACATTAAACCCCACATATACAACTAGGTTATTGCTATAACTGCAGTCTCTTTTCCCCTTGTATTAATTCATGTGCATTCTGCAGACTACAGAATTAATTCCTTTATTGTTCTTGTAGATTTACACAGCAATTAAAGAAGGAAAACACAACCAGCGTTACAAGATATGTTAGCAATGTCTGAAATAAATTGAGGTTAGTAAGAAATGTTAGCTCTGAGGAAAGGTCTAGAAACTGCTCACTGGAACAACAGTTACTACTACAGTACAGAACACAAGTAACATGACAATTGCTGAAATCATTTGATGCAATAATCATCCTGATACAAGAATTATTAAAATTATAACATGAATGTAAAAAGTAAAAGGTTTCTTTGCTCGTTGAGGCTGCATTATCTCTTTTGAACCAATGCAGATGTTTCTCTGAACAGGAAGGAAATCCCCGTGCTCACACAAATTTAGTTTCCCATTTCAGATTTCGGTTTGTACTAATTTTGGTGACCAAACCCAAAAGGGCACCATTGAAAAACTGCCAGAAATTAACACAATCATTGAACTGGAGTGGAAAATACCCCGATACAGCTTCAGATCATCTTACTTAGAAACTTGATAACTGTATTCTCTTCACTTGAACCCTAAAGCCACATTGACAGTAGTGGTTTTATATGGACACTACACAGGCATACTCGGTCATTATCTCAGGAAGATCTTGCACACATCTGAAGTGCCACAGAGCAAGTATTACAAACAGAGTAACTTCAGAATAACTTTGCCATCATAAAATCATTCATAGCACACAGGCCAACATAGATAAGGCTTGGATCCTTTCTGCCTACACTCTCCTAAGATTAATGAGAGAAGAACTCAAGATGTGGCAGAGGACTCCAGCATTTGAGCTGCAACCATTAGTAGCCCTATCTTTCACTATTTCATAAAGACTTAAAAGTGGCTATCTGCAAGATATATGTAGTTTTCATTTGTACTTGTATGGCTTTCAGCAAACTCCTGAGAAAGCTAAGAAAGCTGCATTAAAGACAGAGAGGAAACCACAAAAAAAAAGTTCCAGAACAATAGAATGTTAATGGGTGATTAAAAGTCTTGCACACTTACATATTCACACATGCACTTCCAAATCACACACACAGAGACTCTGTAGTCAACTGTGCCTTAAAAGATTCTCAAACACCACGAATAAATTCAAGTATTATAAGGCATTCCAGCTTTTTAATATGCATGTTTCAGATTCTGCTACCATCCTGTTTCTTATTAGCTTTATTTTTACACACTTCTATTATCTGGAGGATGTTCACTGCAGAATCCCAGGTGCATGCTCATAGTATTAACTATACTCATCCTCCCCAAAGCTGCAGGATTAACACCGAAAATGTTAAGAGATCTTCCCTTTGCAAGAGAAAAATCACTAGGAGAACAAAAAGCAAAAGCTTAGAGAGTACTGTCCATCCTTAATTTCTGAACTTCTTAACTTCTGAACTACTAATTTCATGTAGTTGTCATGAAGCCTAGGACCATATTGTAATTTGGAATACAGCACTGTCCTTCAAAATGATGGAGGTGAAGAGCTGACTTATACCGCATCCAAATTCATGCAGAAACAATACCTCTCATGCTTTAAATAAACAAGGACTCAAAAGCTCCTATAAGACTGATCAGGTTAGCTAGGCTGTATAATAAAGCAGAAGAGATCTCACCTAACCTTAAAAATGTAAAATGTCAGTGCCTAAAACTCAGAGACTATTCATGGCTGTCTCCTCGTTAAAAAGACAGGAAGAGGGGGGCATCTCTGGAGGGTAATTCATGGCTCCTATGGGCTTTTCCCTTTCTAAAGAAAAATTTCAGTGAAGGGCTTCCACAATTAGGCACTTCTGTTAAGTGCTCAAAATCAGGCAGAATACAATGTTTCAGAGCCTCCATGCAAGACTAATGAGACACTTTGTGTCCTTCAGCAAGTCAGTGAGGCACAACTCTGCAACGCTGATCATTCATCCTCCTCAGATTGTGAAATATAAATGAACATGTAGTTCTACACTGGCTGGAAACTCCGTCTCTGCAAAATGTTTTGAACCCACTAATGTTCATTTGCCAACATCTGCCAAAGCTGGTGTAAAGCTATAATCAAATCCTTATCAAGATCAAATCTTTACCCACTGATGTGGTAGCTAAGTATGCCCACTACAACTTACAGGTGAAATTGTCCAAAACTCTTTGTGTTTGATCTGCCTTCTTCTGTGCCTCTAGTTCGCTATGAAAAAAACCCACTTAATTCTATGGCAGGTAGTATCCAGTGCTAGACGCATATACAGACTGTTGTAATTTCAGTCATTCAGCAAGCTTCAGAAAAGTTACTGAGATTATTGCAGCTGTGTTAGAAGCTGAAGAACCCAGTTAAAAACCATGTGAAACTACCAACACCAAAAAAAGCTTAAAGCTTTAGAGGAAACTAAAGTAGTGCACTACATTCACAGTCAGAATCCTCCACTGGCAGCCACAGTAGTGCAGACTATGTTTAAGGAGTAACTAGTTTCAACAAAATAATTAGCTTTAGTCATTAAGGACAGTGGTGCTGTAAGCCCAGAAGAATGGTATAAAGAGTTACTATGGCAGCTCCACAGTCCATACGAAGTATGTCCCTTTCAAGCATGCTATCTTTTTCTTCTGAGGTTTTGTTTAACTTGTTCCACAGAGAAACATGATTTTGATACTTTACACCTTGAAGCATAAAGGCATAAGGCACACAGCAGGTAAGTAATGCAAATGTTTTGCCTGAACATACTTAGTCTTCTAAGAAAGTCTAAGAAGCAGTCAGCTGAAAATTTACCAGGAAGACACGCAGGCAAAATGTATCTGCCCATGTCCTTCAAAAGCATTCATGCATACATGTGTTGCTATTTACATAGCAACTGTATTTATAATCTCTTTGGAATAGGTTATCCCTGTACTTCATATTACTGCAAAATATGAAGCATTTCAAAGATTTCACCCATATTTACAGATGCAGGAATCCTATCCTCAAAGCTGTCTTTACTCCTGCCCAACAACTACCTGAGTAGATACATCTTTTCTATGAATGTATGAATGTTTACATTTATCCATGAGTTCTACAGGCTCAGTGGTTTGATGCCCGTTTTGTAGGAGTACAAACTGCCCTTGAAGCAAGTGAAGTTTTAGAAGCTCCCTCCTGCCTGTACCAAGATCCACAGAAAGAGACACTCTTACGTTACCTACTCGAGCGTGTCCATACAATACACAGTTTTTCAAAAATAAAAAGACTTAGGAGAACCCACAGCATTACACTCGCATACCTAAGTACCAAAAAGACCAGAAAATGTGAAACTGTGTACAAAATCGTTATTTCAATCCTGCAGGTACATGCATTAAGACACAAAGGGCTGCATAATATCAGTCATATGCAATACAATATCACAACTCTGGTAAGTGAAGTATCGTAGCTTTGCCTAGCATTCCCAGAATAATGCAGGAAGCCCACTGACCTGTCTCGATGCCCACATGCAGACCAAGAAGCACAGGGTGCAATGCCTGGTTGCAGGCGATGTTCCTGCCTACCTTCTCTGGCCCATCTCTTTCAAACACAACAGTTCAGGGCAAATTACACGCCAGAAGGAAGCCTTCACCTTCCCTCCCTAAGCTCCCTACAGGAATGAGACAGCTGACGAGTACTAGAGCTAGCTGAGCAAAAGGACACAGTGTTTGGCCATTTAGAGCATATTCTCTATTCAAACAATTGTCCTAGTTCCCTCGAGGGACAAACAGCATACTGAACGTGAGCGTCATACTGCCAGACCCAGCTTGAAGGCCATTCAACACCCCAGTCACAATGAGGTGGACTACTGAACTGGACAAGCATCATAACGTAGCAATTCCTGTGGTAGCACTCAGAATTGCCATTCATGATTTACTTTGCTGTGTACATCAGTCGTGAGGAAGACTATGCAGTAATGACTGAATGTATTACACGAGTAATTGTATTTGATACAGTAAATGATGAATGCATCATTTCAGAAATTAAAACTTTTAAAACTCTCTAAAAAAATTACAATGAAAAATGCAGCACTATAGAAATACAAGCTTACAATTTCCCAAAATAGCAGAGATTATATCTGAAAAGTTATAACTAGACAATCTCAAGAATCTTTACACTACATACAAATATATATGAGATGTTCAACTTGAACAGGCAACCTCAAATTCAAAATTTCTTGACTGGATTCCAACACACAGAGGTCATTTAAAAAGCAGTAGTCAGTTTTGCCTGTGGGCAGCCTTGAGTGAATGCTTTGTGACACACAGGTGTAGGAAAGTTCCACTTACAGGTCTTTATCATCATTGGTTTATCTGGAGACTTCAGATATTTATTCATTACTCTGCTAGCAAAAGAGCAGAAATAAAATGGGCAGTTCTTTCAAAAGGTGGGGTTTCAGGTTTGGTTACCAAAGCAATAAAGCAGAGACCCTTTCAGATATTCTTTCCTGCCATGACTACTAAAACAGAATATTATACAGAATTACAAGAGGTAATGTAACTAACAGCAAAAAAAATTGTTATTTACTCTCTGCAGATTATTATCAAATCATTCAAACATTCAAAGGGTTAATTCCAGAATTACAGTGGAAAAAGGTAAGTGTGATGATTTTCTTTCAGCTACCTCTCTGCCTATGGGATAGGCTATGGATCACCTATGTTCCCATTTCTGAATTTTTTCTGTCTTTTAAATATTCAAGGCAAAACCAGGTGCAATGCAAAATATACACAGTTAAGTTCACTTACCCTGTGTATAATTCCAGCTGAATGAAGATGTTTGATACCACACAGCATTTGATAAAGAAGATAGGACATTCGTTCATGGTCTAGCTCCATCTGAATCACTTGGCAGAGATTTGCATCCATGAGCTCCATCACTATGTAGCTTATGAAGCAAAAAAAAGACGATGACTAATCAGATTATACTGCCATTTGATTGTATTCTTTCCCTTACTCATCTTTCTGCACAAACATTTTAAAAATTAATTCTCAGCTTTAGTTCAAATCAGACTTACACGTCTTGAAATTCTTCCAGGGATTTTTGTGGTGTGAACACATTCAGTAGGCCGATTATCTGCAGGAAGGGGGAGAGGAAGTATAATCGCACCACAGCAACAGCAAAGTTGCAAAGTCTAAAGTCAAAACCGATACCCAGCATTCTGATGCAAATCTCCTCGTATACATTGAAGCTCAAGATGCCCAGCAGCTCAACCAGGCCTAACACGCTGTAATAGATGATTTTAGGAGGAGTATTTTTTCCTCAACAAATCACATAATCTGAAGACCATCTGTATGCATTAACAAGGTGCTATTCAAAGCTTAAAACCTAAGGAAGTTAGTCTTCCCCTGCCGCCTACTTCCACTTTGAAGAGAGCTGGTAAGATTTTTATTGCATATGGGGAAAAATAAAACGAAAAACTGACAAAGACTACCTCAGAGATACCACTTTGCCATTGACAGAGGTGAAGCAAAAAGTCCACCCAAAGAGGAAAAACAGATTCTTGGAGCTGCTGTAGGGTATTTTCCAGTTACTAAGAATGGATGGGGTGTGCAGAAACAGGTCAAGCTACTACTCATCAAGGGTCAGGCAGGCTTGCAATGGCTTATCATCATACAAATGATGCCATTAGGTAAAACTTTCTTCAGAGAATCCACATATAAACCATCTCCGCTTTAGAAAAAATACAGAATTTTCCCAAGTGTAACTAGAAGACAGAGCAAGTCTTCTATGACTGACTCTGTCACTAGCAGCAAGGGGGAGTTTCATCTTGCTGAAGGGGGCTCAAGAGGGAAGGTGAGGAAGACTGCACACAGCTGTCTCTGAACTAAGAAAATGGCCAATATCAGCCCTCTGTAGTCCAAGTCTGATAAATTTATCACTTCTCTCTATTTCTGTGTTCTTGTCTACTCCAGAGCTTCTTAAGCATCAGACAGTTCCTGTTGTCACAACACAAGATTCCTAACTCATTCATGCACCAGGGAAAAAAAAAATAAAAAAAAAATTTACAGCCCTTTTTCCTCCTATTTGTCTAGCAGAAGCAGTAGAAACAAGGATGCACTTAACACTCACGGTATTCTTATTTGCCAGCTGCCTGTAAAATGTAGCAATGTAACACTGACTCCCTTCCTGAATTTGAAGGGGGTATTTAAAGATTGAGCAGGTATTAGTATTAGCCAGTAATAGCTCTTCTGAAAGAGCCTTCTGTACTTTTCACAGAGACACAGCCATGCAATGAAAATCTCTATAATCTACAGAGGATGCGACTTCCACTGAAGTCGCTTTTAAGACTTTTACAAAGAAGAACCTTCTAATTAATTCTTTAACATTTAAAGCAGGACATAGCACTTACGTTTTTGTGATTAACACACTTCATAAGAACAAGCTCTCTGTAGGCTCTTTTAGCATGGGTTTGGTTCTGAAACGGCCGGCTTAACTTCTTGATTGCAACATTTCGTTCAAGGATGGCATCATAAGCTGCACTGTAATAAAAAATAACGTTATTACATCTCAGTGTCAAGGTCCTTTAAGCTGTGGCAGTTGCCACTTTTTTCAGATACTTTGTATCATGTCTGCAGAGAAACCAAATTTCCAGTATTATTCAAGCTTCAGGGACTGTAATAGCAAAGTGCTCTTATATGCTAAGCAATTCAAAATTTAGAAATGTTTCCCAGCTTCATAGTACTAACACATCACAATCTCCACAAAAAAAATGCAGGATCTCTGCTTCCTAAAATAACTTACTGAAGATATTGAGCTCTTTGCCATTCATTGGCACTCAAGAACAGACCACCTAAAAAAGATCCAAAACACTTCAAACATTAAAAGCACATCAATTTTATGTAAAATCTCCACACTGAAAGGAAGGGAGAACGAGAGAGGAAAAGTAGGTTATACAAAGGTCCAATGCTTTCACTTATGCAGCCACTTAATATCCTCAGGACACTGCAAGCATTAATGTCAAGATAAAACCAAACAAAAAAAATGTTAGGAAAGCCTTAATATCTTGATGTCACTGGCTTTTACTTGGTAAAAAGGAAGAAAAACATTTTGTTTGCAGACTAATGCCAAGATGATTGTCATATGATCCAGTGACACAGGCTGTTTGACTGTTATTGGGGACAACTCCTGTAGTGTCACATTTCCATGACAGGAAGCAACGGATTTTGTCTCCTCTGAGAAGTAATGACAGCTGAGCACTGTGCAGAGTCAGGCAATATTTATCAGTTACTAAGAAAGCCTCAGCAGGGAAAATACTGGTTTTGTCTCTTATCAAGAATAGTATTCAAGCCTAATGAAGAACATCTGACAGTAAATGGTCAGCATCTACTAAAACCAACTACCTAAAAAGTGTGTTGTCTATACAGTATGTACACTTGAAGAATTTTTTTTTTTTTTTTTTAATATTGTCAAAACATCTTGTACTATTGAAGAAAGAAAAAATGGGAACAACATATACTGGTAACTTTCTTTGGTTTACATTTTTCACTATCTGCAATTTTCCCTACCCACCCCCAAGATAAGGAGCATCTTATGAAAGAGTGGCAAAAAGGTGGACAGGAAAGACTGCCAACCTGGGACTCCTGTACCAGTATTTAAACTTCTGCATCCCCTGTACATAACAGTAGCCTTAGAGTCTGTTTCAGTATTAGATATGGTTAAGCTTTTAGGCTTAATATTCTTATCTGCTTAATATTCCTCCAAATCAAGTTGAATCAGTTAAAACAACAAACAAACAAGAAAAACAAAAAAACAAACAAACAAAAAAAAATCCAACCCAAATCACAGGAATTACACCCAATCTCCTCTAGACATGGGCAAGATTTAACCACATGAGCACTCCCATCCTCAGGGTAATCAGAGTGGTTTAACTAAAAAGGCTTCAATTACCATAAGCAGCACTTACAGAATAACACTAGAGTAACTGCACGGTCAGGTTTTGGATCTCAGCTCTGGGAGCGACAGTAAATTTGGAAAACAGGTAGAAATGTATGACAGGGAATCAGGAGGACAGTGATAACATCTAAAGGTTTTGCAGGCATTTCTATAGCAACTAAACAGATTGTATTCAAACAACTGTCTATGTCCTCATTATATTAACATACATGCAAACAAAATTCACATCAGTTCTGCTGCTGCTGCTACTTACAGACCAAATAATCTTAATGCCAGAAGTTACCGTTTCAAAATAAATTCTTTCTAAAGTACTGGCCTTCAAGTTTTCATTTGCACTAAGCACACTATTTTATTATTAAACCAGCTAAAACACAAATACAAATTAAAAACATGCCCATACCACACATTCTCTGAACACTGATCAAGACAAGATCAAGGCAATAAAAAGGTTACTTGGAAAGGTGTTTGAGAAGATTATGCTTTCCCCTACCTTTCTCTTCCTTGATATTTCTTTTGTATTTTTACATCCCTGGTTAGCATCTTAAAGAGTTACAACTGGAAAGTCTACATCCTTCTCTTGAACATTCAAAAAACTCTCAAGAAGCTTAAACCAACATTTATCTTTGGGGTAATGCCACTGAACAGGCAAGAGTGCCTACAAGCAGCTAGATGTCACCAATTTTAAATCAATCGGACACTCTTCAATCCACACACCTGAACTCTTATATTCAAAGAATTATATTGTCAAGTCGTATTTTCCTAAACTGCACGTGTTACAATGACAGGCAGCATCACAAATGCTCACTAACTGGTATCAGGGAATAGCTAGATTATGAAACTACATGAAACAGGCCCCTAACAAACCATTTCAAGAAGTAAAAGCATTTACAAGCACCAAGTTTTACATAGAGGGTATTTCTGGCTTTTGTTTCACTGTAAACAGTGTGGTTTAGGATTAGGATTAGTTTCTTTATCCAGGTTCCGCCCCCCCCTCATTAATTTATGGGACTCAGCACAGCTGTCTGAATTTGCACAGAAGGGCATCAGTTTGGAAGCAGGAAAGAACACAGGTCAAAAAGCAACAGCAACAGCCTTTGCTGAGGAAAAACAGCTAACTATTACTATCACCATTTTGCATGGAAAAAGTAGTTCGCCACACTCCTACTCAGTAACATGCAACTGTTAAAGGACCCAGAAAATTCTCTCAAGGGAACCTAAAAGTACATTTACATTTTAAAGAAGCCTTACCATACTATCCCTTGTGCTCCTGATCCTATTGGTTTTAAGTTTTGATACCGTTTCAATACAGTGAAAGTAGAATCTCCAATTTCGACGCTGTAGAAATTGTTGTCACGCTTGCTTCTGCTCATGACGGCAACTTAGTTAGATCGCTTCATCCAAATTTTGCTTCTGGCCTGTAAAGAAATAAAACTTGAAAAACTAGTACTTTACAACTGCATGTAAGCTGACAAAAGGCAAAATTCTTTATAACACACAGAAGACATTTCCCAAATAAGTCCTATATGCAAATGTACATTACTTTTAATGTCTGCAAGAATGACATGGCATGTGTCTGAAATGTTTTGTCAGGAATGTTCCTAGAATAGGATTCTAGAAGGGCAAAAATGATAGAGAACCAAAAGTGAATCGTTGGTAGCAAAAATCTTAGACAGCAACAAACAGAAGATCAAAAGGCAGGATGACAGCTACATGTCATTTGCAGAGCTCCAAGAGGGCTGCCACCCCCCCACACCCCCGCCTCTCCCCGAGCAAGGGAGCTGGGTTTGGACCAGACACTCTCCAGAGGACCCTTCCAACCCAAATTGTTGCATGACTCTCTAAATATCAACACAGCAATCATCAAAATACTCTTGGCCGCAACTGCCAGGAATACCTGTCACTGATGTGGAAACACACACAGCCAATCTAGGCCAGAAAAGGAAAACTGGCCTCATCAGAGATCTCGCATACTAACTGCTATGAATGCATCTAATAATCAGGGAAAG